AGCCATCTCTGGGAAACATCCACACACACATTCACACACACAGTCATACACTAAGAACAACTTAGCCTACACAATTCACCTGTACCACATGTCTTTGGACTGTGGGGGAAACCCAACCCAAGCTCATTCTGGAAACGTAGCCCCAAGGACGTTTCTGGAGACCGGAGGTACGTAAGGCCGCGTTTAGTTTTTTTAGGGGCGGAGCGGCGCCACACCGCCCCTCTTCTCGTTTGCTGGCCGACGGCTCGCCTCCGAGTGGAGGGCTTTCCCGATGCAACCAGTTTGTCCCCTTAGCTCACAGCATTGCGTCGGCAGAGCGGAGGCCCCGGAGGAGGAGCCGGCCGCGGGGATGACGACAGGGATCGAGTCCGGGGAACAGCGGTTCTGGAAATCAGGTAAGACGAAAAACGGAATCCGAAAAATAAGGGTGAGAATGCGGCGGGATCCGAAAACGCGGTCAAAATCGAAGACGAGGGCTTTTGCTTTTTTTTTTTCTGGACGGCTTTTGTGAACCTTCGCTCGGGTTTAGGGAAGGAGGAGGAGGAAGAGGAGGGCGGCTTTTCGCGCGAGAACGGCGCGGGCGCGAACGGCGCGTGCTCCCGAGAGGGGAATATGCCGCACAACGGCCTCTCGCGGATCCGCGAAAACAAAAACCGCTCGAATACGTACCTCCCGGGGCGTAAATCGCGGCCCGCAGAAACGTCCGCGGGGCTACGTTTCCACAATGAGCCCGGGTTGGGGAAACCGGAGCACCCGAAGGAAACCCACGCAAAGGCAGGGAGAACATGCAAACTCCACACAGAAACACCATCTGAGCCGAGGTTCAAACCAGCGACCCAGCGACCTTCCTGCTGTGAGGCGACAGCACTACCTAGTGCACTGCCTCGCCTGCACTAGTAAATGCGTAGTCATTTGTTGTTGCCATAGAAACATTCTCACAGTTGCTTGCTTCATTTAAAAACAACACCTTACATGACACTTGTACGAGCCTGTGATTTATAGAAAGCATTGTCTTTATTTATTATTTATTTTTATTTATATTGTTAAAGCTTAAATTGTCATTTAAAGGGGTCCTATTATGCCCCTTTTACAAGCTGTAAATTAAGTCTTTGATGTGTGTATGTGAAGTTATGGATCAAAAATCCCCACAAACAATGTTTTATAACTCTTTGAAACTACCCCTTTTAGGCTTTGATCAAAAAAGTTGCCATTTTGGAGACTGTCGCTTTAAATTCAAATTAAATTGTGCTCTTTTTAAAAGAGGGTGGAGCTATGTGGCAGATTCAGAACTCTACAGCTGCTTCTCACTCATATGCTAATGAGGGAGAAATTGTCACTAGTGGGCGTGGCTTTCCCCCTCTTATTAAACATGCAAAGGGAGAACGTCAAAGTATTTCTGCAGTGTTTTATGAAGTTTGATTATGATAAATAGAATTAATAATTAATAAATTAAAAATCTTTTTATATTCACAGACTGATGCCACACAGCTGTGTTTAAACCCCTTTTAAAGTGTTTTTGTTTTTGCATAATAGGTTCCCTTTAAAGTCAATGATCTATCTGTATATTCACATTGTTTCAACACACTCATTGTGATGTGAAATAAAGCAACATTCTCCCACAAACATAAATGCTGGAAAGAGTTTATCCATCTAACTTTGGGAAGAAAAACACCAGAGTGGGGACATAATAAAAATCCTTATGTCAATGGGAAGTACGTATAAAGCATGAAAACCGAACATGTGTGTATGTGTCTGTGTGTGCGCATGCTTGTGTTTATGTGTCCTCTTGAGTCCAAGTCAAGGTCCAGCTTACTGACCCGAACTCATCCTTCTGGTCACTTATTCTCCAGTTTACTCATCATGTCTGAAATCTGTGTGGAGTGTTTAATTGAATGCATTGTTCTAGCTACATTGGCATCTTATATATCTGCAAACTCCTCAATCGAATACTAATGAATGGATGTCTATCAGCTCATGGTCTGGTGAGATGAATACAGGCAAATGAGCTCTGTATGTCTGTCAGAAACAGCAGGGCTGGAAAGAGAAGAGGGTTTGATAGCGAGACAGCAGAGCCTTTGATAAGAGTCAAGGAACAACACCAAAAGCTCCTGGTCAGAAGAGAGAGGGGAAAAAAATAACGAACCAATTATTCATCCGATACAGTCACACTCCACTGCAGCTTTCACAACAGAAGTAGTTTCACATCCTGGAAAAAAATATGTAATTTCTGTAAGTTTGTCATTAACTGATGTTAATCATTGAGAAGCGACTGGTCCCCAAAATGTGTGAGAAAGGTTGAAATGCAGCGCATTAAAATTCTGTTCCAGCAGCAGGTTTAGGCTTTTGTGCTGTTTGATTTCAGACATTTCCTAATTGTTTCTTGGGATTTGGATTCCAGTCTATCAATTGAATGATAATATTTTTATTTAGTATTAGTAATTTGTAATACATATTTGCTTTAAGTAAAACAAAATGATAAAAAAACAACTTTTGAGAAGTAGAATGACATGATTACTGCTATTATTAATTCATAATGTAGAATTTTTGGTATTACATGTTTTTTTTAAACACATTCACATTATATATATTTAACTGTACATAAAAAGTAAACTTGTATCAAAGCACTACACTTTATAAATATTTTTTTTAAATAGTAAAGGCCAAAGACTGATTGTGATTAATCAAATAAAAAAATGTTTTTAAGTGTGTGTGTGTGCTGTGTATTTTTTACTTTGTATACATATATGCATGCATATATTTGTGAATTTTTTTATCATAGAGATAAAATATGAATACATTTAAATATCTCTCTCTCTCTCTCTCTCTCTCTCTCTCTCTCTCTCTCTCTCTCTCTCTCTCTCTCTCTCTCTCTCTCTCTCTCTCTATATATATATATATATATATATATATATATATATATATATATATATATATATATATATATATACATATATTCATAAAATTGTTTGTATAGTTTTGGTTTTATGTACGGTTCTCAACATAAATTAGTACACCCCTCACAAATCTGTCTTTTGAATTTATTTTTTAATAGGAAGCTATACAATATTATATTTGTGCGTATACATTAGATCAGTGAAGCCATATCTGGAGCTAATCTAATCAATTATTACTTATGATAATGATCCAAAAACCAATACATGCAAATGTTATAGAAAAATATTAAATAGAAAATTTAAAAAGAGGAAAAATCAAGAGAAGCAAAAAAGTGGAAAACTTTTGTTGAAATTTTGTAGATTGAATTTTTTTTGCAATTATTATTATTATTATTATTTATATATATATATATATAATATATATTTTTATTATTATATATTATTATTATTTTTAATATCTAAACATGTTTGATGGCTAAAATATTTTTTATTAAATATATCTGTTTAATAAATCTGTTTTGCTTAAATGCAGCAAAATACATTCCCTGTATTCACATAGAAATGGATAAAAATATTCATTTTCAAAATGAGGTGTACTTAATTATGCTGAGCACTGTATGTGTGTGTATCACATACACATAATAAATATATAAAACACACACACACACACACACACACACACACACACACACACACACACACACTCACACACACACACACACACACACGTCAAAACAAACCTTTTTTTGGATGTGAATAATCTATTCCCAGCAAGCACTATAAGAATATGAACACTCAATACACTGTTGTTTCATTGTCTCGTGCCTTTAGATTCTAAAGTGAAATTTTACATGTATGTTATGATTGTTAATGAGTTTACTTAAATACTGTGACTTAACATTTATTATTATTATTATTATTACTGCTGATTTTGTTTTTGTTACATATTTATAAAGCAGTATTCATCTCTTTTATTGCCTTATGTTTATTTTAATGTGATTAATAAAATGTTTAGTTTCTTTTGTGATTATTTCATTTGTTTGTTTTATTTTTTGTAATATATTTATATTTTTATTTGCATTTGATTTCTTTTTTCTGTGACCATTAGTAACTTCAGTTTTGGGCTTAACTAAATAAAAAGTGTGAGTACTTTTTGCCAATCTAATATGAAAAGAAGTTTTAGGAACATTCTTTCCAAGAAATAAAAATTATTTTATTATATTATTTCAATTATTTAAATTTAATTTTAAAGCTATTTAGCCTAATTATGATCATACACACTCAAAACCATCTAAATGAATGACACTAAATGAATATATGCAATTATCTCACCTCTAAAGTAAACTATAAAAGTGGCCCAAATGTAGCAAAACACACCAACACTGAAGATTTCCTCTGATTTTTGAAATGCAGAATGTGTTTTACTTCTGTATTTTTAAAGCACTTTGTGATGCTTCCTTTAAATAAAATGAAGTTTATTATTATTATTATTATTATTATTATTATTATTATTATTATTGTTATTATTACTATTAACAGGGTGGCTCAGTGGTTAGCACTGTTGCCTCACAGCAAGAAGGTCGCTGGTTTGAGTCCTGATGTTCGGCTGGGTCAGTTGGCATTTCTGTGTGCATGTTCTCCCTGTGTTGGTGTGGGTTTAGTGTATGAGTGTGAATGTGAGAGTGTCTGGGTGTTTCCCAGTACTGGGTTGCAGCTGGAAGGGCATTTGCTGTCTAAAGCATATGCCGGATAAGTTGGAGGTTCATTTCACAGTGGCAACCCCTGATGATTAAAGCGACTAAGCCGGAGGAAAATGAATGAATGAATATTATTATTATTATTATTATTATTATTATTTCAAACCCCTGCTTGAACTAACAGTATGAATTCCCCATTATTATTAGCATATTCATAAATGTGTGAACATCATTTGCATGACGCTCATCCACAGCCAATGGGTGCACACACAGCTCCGCCCAACAGGAGCGTGGATCTACTTCCTTCAGCAGGTGCGCTCGAGCTCAGGACAAACTGCAAAAGTCAAGCGCGACGCACTTTTGTCTCGTGCAAAATAAAATCCTTCTTCACCCCTCTACAGATTATTTACCGGGGGCCGCGAGGATTTCCAGCCGGATTGATGTTTACTGACATGGTGTCCAAGTTGACATCGCTTCAGCAGGAGCTCCTGAGCGCCTTGCTGGACTCGGGGGTCACGAAGGATGTCCTGGTCCAGGCACTGGAGGATTTATGCCCGTGTCCCGCAGAATTCGGAATTAAAATCGAGAAGCCCCTGTCACCGTCCAGTGCCAACGGCGGCAGCGACTGCGGGGACTCGAAACCGGTATTTCTGACGCTGACCGGCGCTCAAGGGAAAGGCGGAAAACTGTCCGGTGATGAAGGCTCGGAGGACGGGGATGATTTCGACACGCCGCCGATCCTGCGGGAGCTGCAGTCGCTGAACACCGAGGAGGCCGCGGAGCAGCGCGCGGAGGTCGATCGCATGCTGTCGTGAGTTACCTACTCTGGAGTCTTCACGGGTTCTCGATCAAATATAATATGCAAATTATTCAAATAACGCAGCTTGGATGTTAAATGTTATTTTAATTTCAATAGCAATATGAAGAAGCACTATTTTTGTGGAGGGGTTTTCAAACGAGTCAAGGGGGCAAAATAATTCACAAAAAAGTATTAATTGGATTTAACCTGCTAAATATTATAAGATGCTTGTTTAAAACGAATTTAAACAAACATATTAAATTCGGTAATGTTCAACTTAATTTGTTTGTTTATATTCAGCCCATATAAACTTTTTGCAACCACTTACCCTAATAATTGAGTAAATTCAATTTCAGTGTTGCCTAAATCCAATTTCAGAGTTGTTTAATTATTTTAATTTATGATTAGAAATTTTAACTAACCAAAATCATTATTAAAATACGCAATAAACAGCATTGCTGAAAAAAATAATTATCAATAAATCATGACAACACGTTTTTATGTTAAATAAAAATTATTAAACAAAGTTGATCTTATTTTTAACTTCTAACGGGTTGTTTTAATTGTGCAAGCTGTTTTAAACCAGTTTAATGTAATTTAAGTTCAAAGGACTTATAATTTAATTCAAATGAAAGATTTTAAGGCAACAAAATTTTTACAGAACAAACAAATAAAAATCGAATTAAAGTAGCCTACAGGCTAATTGTAAAATAACTATGTAATAGCATTAAATCAGCAACTTAAGTAAATAACAATACAACTAAAATGATAACATCTGAAGCAAACATAAAACGAACATCAGTAATTCTAACATAATGTTATACGATAAGATGATTAAATATAATTGAAATAAATACGTTAAATGCCAAAAAATTGGCTCAAATAACTGAATTAAAACTAACAGATAAATAGAAATTAGATTTAAATGAATAAACAATTAATTAGCATAAATAAGTAGATTTAATTAATATATAAATAAATGATCAATGATCAAATAAATGACAGTCCACTTAGTAACTAGCTGTTTTAAATTTGTTTTTATGAACGTTGCAGGCTTACATGTAACATTTTTATCAAATTAACTGACAAAACCACTAATATATAGTAAGTGAATGTCGAAATTTCCCAAGAATTATAAATCTACATTGACGTTAAGTCAAAACGAAACCACGTGTAGTTGTTATTAATTTATTTCTATAAATCATCAACAGAAAGATACACATTGTCGTATGAATAGAGGGAAAAGATATCTAGTTATTCATTGTCCAAAGTTATAGTCTTAAATCAACATCCTCGAGCACACTCAAAAGTGAGGGGTTATTTCCCCAAACAAACAAACATTAGCGGATCCGACAGACATTTGCAGATTTCCTCCAGCCGAATATAACCGATCACCGGCAATTCACTATAGCGGTGATCAACAATATTTTAATGTCTTTTCAATAATTAGAAATATGACTTTTTTAAAGCAACTTGTCATCGTTTTTGGTCAAATGCTACACTAAAATAAATTTCGATGTAGGCTATTTAAAATTATATAAACAATGTCAAACGCAGAGTATTCGTAATGGTTGTCTATTTTTTTTTTTTTTAATAGATAATTATGTCTTTTATAGGAATTTAAGTTTTATTTAAACTTCAAGACTTCAGTCTAAAAATAAACAAGCCTATTATTAGGCTACAATCATTTAGCCTAATTGTTTTCGAAATATTTTACGCAGTTTTTAAATTATAAAATAATTGGTATAGTATTGTTGCAAATCGCTTATATTTTACTCTACATCAATAAACATTTTTTAAACAATATAGCCTAGGCAACAGGACATAGGGTTAGCTTACAATGTTTTATTGTAGCTGAAATTAATTTTCTAATTAATAATTAATGTTAATTAATTTATTATTAATCTAATTAATAAGTAAATAAGATTTTCAGAATCTGACGGAAATGTGTGTGTGTGCTCCTGATCAGAGAGGACCCGTGGCGGGTTGCTCGCACTATTAAAGGCTACATGCAGCAGCACAATATCCCGCAGCGGGAGGTGGTGGACGTGACGGGCCTCAATCAGTCTCACCTGTCTCAGCACCTCAATAAAGGCACGCCGATGAAGACCGCCAAAAGAGCCGCGCTTTACACCTGGTACGTCCAGAAACAGCGCGAAATCGACCGACGTAAGTCAACATCTTATAAACTGCACCAAAGCTTTACCATCTGTATCTTTCTGACATTTAAAACATGTTTTTCTTATTGTTTTTAACGCGTATATTGCGCATAAAAGCATCGTTTACTATAGTCGAGTAACAGTTGTTTATTTACTTCTCTATTAATCGAATAAATATGCCATAATCAAGTGTAAAAATTACAAATAAACGTTCATTCCTGTACTTTTTACCACCTTTTAAGCAATTCCCATGTAGGCATAATAAATGTCTTTGTATCATGTGAGAAAATATATTTAGTTTTGTTGTTTTGATGTTTATGTTTTTATAGTGTTTTAAATAGTGAAGTGAATGATGTGTGTGGGATATACGCGCCAAAGGGGTTTCACACAGTTGCCATGCAGCTAAAAGTTTTTTTTAAAATCATTTTAATCATAAAAAACTCTTTTTTTAAAATATATATTTCAAGTATGTAAATTATAGGTCCTAATTGTTTGTCTTTTACAAATATATCTGTTCCTCTGAATGACGATGGAGTTTTATACAAACCAATTTATAAAGTAGCAACTTTACATGCGTTTTAATTCGCATTTTCTATGCATATAATCAATTAAACCCATATATATATATATATATATATATATATATATATATATATATATATATATATATATATATATATATATATATATATATATATGGGTTAGGTTAATTTTTAATTCATTATATGCATAGAAAATGCTAATTAAAACGCATGTAAAATGTCTATTTTAATGTTATATATGTGTCAAAGTTTTATTTTAAGATGTACAGAATATTTTAGCATATTTAAACACTTTACAATAAGCTTCGATTAGTTGATGTGTTTATTAAAATGAACAAACGATCAACAGTACATTTCTTACAATAATCTTGGTTGACTTTATAAAATGAAAATACACTTGTTCATTGTTATTTCATGTTAATTCTCACAGTGCACTAACTTATGTTTATAGCACAACTTTTGATTTTACCAATGCATTAAATGTTAAACTATATAATTTGTAAATTCTGTACAAGTATTATTCATTATTAGTTCATGCTGTTAAAGGTTAAAGGCCATTTTTATTTTGATATTTTTTATTTTTTACAGTCTTGTTTCACAGAATATTTTTGAAAACATAAAAATATTTATGCATAAGTTTGCATACTTTGACTAAGAGCACATGTTATTTAGCTGCTCTAAACAGGACTTTATCTGTCAAGATCAGTGTACAGTGCTCAGCATAGTACATTCATTCATTTTCTTGTCGGCTTATTCCCTTTATTAATCCGGGGTCACCACAGCGGAATGAACCGCCAACTTATCCAGCATGTTTTTACGCAGCGGATACCCTTCCAGACGCAACCCATCTATGGGACACATCCACGCACACACTCATACACTACAGACATTTTAGCCTACCCAATTCACCTGTACCACATGTCTTTGGACTGTGGGGGAAACCCACGCGAATGCAGGGAGTACATGCAAACTCAACACAGAAAAGCAAACTGAGCCGAGGCCTGAATCAGCGACCTTCTTGCTATGAGACGACAGCATACCTACCTACCTGCATAGTACACCCCCACAAATCTCTCATTTAAATTAATATTTTCTAAAGTAAGCATTACAATATCATATCTGTGCATAAACATTAGATTAGTCTGTACTGTAGTCAAATCTGGAGCTTATCTAACAAAATAACTTACAATAATGGTTAAAAAATCAGTAGCCCAAATTTATATGTTAGGGGAAAATATTAAATAAAATATTTTTTTATTTTATTATTTTATTTTATTAATTTCAATATTTTATATGAATTTAAATGTATTATTTTTTCATGTTCTGTAACTAAAATATTATTTTAATAAATTGTTATGTTTAATAAATCTTTTTTGTTAAAGTGCACCAATATATATTACCCATATTCACTGAGAAATTAATAAAAATAATTATTTTCAAAATGGGGTGTACTCATTTATACTGAGCACTGTATTTAAAAAGGATATGTTCCTCAGCCCTGGGTCTATTATTCCCTCTGAATCATTGCGGTCTCCCTATCCAGGCTCTCTCTCTCTCTCTCTGTCATGATTCTGCCTTACCCTGCCCCAATCGTGTCCCCCTCTTATTTCCGCAGAGTTCGACCGTGTTCAGGGCTCTGACCCCAGTGACTCAGCCAGTCAGGATCAGGTCCTGTTTTTTTTCCCAGAATTCAATCACGGCGGACACAGTTCGGGGGCTGCAGGGGGATCTGGAGCAGCGGTAGGAGATGAGGGGGAGCCCGGATCAAAGAGGATGAGGAGGAACCGCTTCAAATGGGGCCCAGCGTCCCAGGAGATTCTCTATCAAGCTTATGAAAGACAGAAAAACCCCAGCAAAGAGGAGAGAGAGGCGCTGGTGGAGGAGTGCAACAGGTAATGATCAATACACTGTTGTTCACTGAGTTACTCTAACTTATTATGAAAGGCTAAACCAGTTGTCAACTTATTTTTTTAAGTTATAAAATTCAAATTGACATTTTAAAGTTATTTTTAGTTGTACAAATCAACTTGATTCTTTTACACTGTACATATTTATTGTCGAAATGTAGTTTTATAAATTATTTTTTTATTTATTTATGTCTTTATTTTATTAATTCATCTGAAATAATTTATTTTATTATCTATCTATCTATCTATCTATCTATCTATCTATCTATCTATCTATCTATCTATCTATCTATCTATCTATCTATCTATCTATCTATCTATCTATCTGTCTATCTGTCTGTCTGTCTGTCTGTCTGTCTGTCTGTCTGTCTGTCTGTCTGTCTGTCTGTCTATCTGTCTATATATCTGTCTGTCTGTCTGTCTGTCATCTATCTATCTATCTATCTATCTATCTATCTATCTATCTATCTATCTATCTATCTATCTATCTATCTATCTATCTATCTATCTATCTATCTATCTATCTATCTATCTGTCTGTCTGTCTGTCTGTCTGTCTGTCTGTCTGTCTGTCTGTCTGTCTGTCTGTCTGTCTGTCTGTCTGTCTGTCTGTCTGTCTGTCTGTCTGTCTGTCTGTCTGTCTGTCTGTCTGTCTGTCTGTCTGTCTATCTGTCTATATATCTGTCCGTCCGTCCGTCCGTCCGTCCGTCCGTCTGTCTGTCTGTCTGTCTGTCTGTCATCTATCTATCTATCTATCTATCTATCTATCTATCTATCTATCTATCTATCTATCTATCTATCTATCTATCTATCATCTATCTATCTATCTATCTATCTATCTATCTATCTATCTATCTATCTATCTATCTATCTATCTATCTATCTATCATCTATCTATCTATCTATCTATCTATCTATCTATCTATCTATCTATCTGTCTGTCTGTCTGTCTGTCTGTCTGTCTGTCTGTCTGTCTGTCTGTCTGTCTGTCTGTCTGTCTGTCTGTCTGTCTGTCTGTCTGTCTGTCTGTCTGTCGATCGGTCGGTCTGTCTGTCTGTCTGTCTGTCTGTCTGTCTATAATTCATTTTTTATAAAACAATAATAATTAAACAAGCAAACAAAAATATATAAAAACATTAATTGAAATCTATTGTAACCTCGTTATGAAAATATTTTTTTCTGGATAAAAATTCAATAGCTGAAATATAGATTGATTAAAAACAAAATTGACTTTAAAATATATATAAAAAAGACAAAAACGCAGAGCAAATAACTAAACTATAACTTAAAAGTAACTAAACAAAGTGTTGTCAGCCAAATGTTTAATCTAATTATTACTTATTGTTTTTATTATTCATGCTTTAAAATGGTGGTGTTTGTGCGTTAGTTTTACATTTATCAAATGTATTTGATCTGTTTATCTCTCAATAAACAGTATATACTATATAGTTCAATACAGACGGGCACTTATTAATTGCCCGTGTTTCTTATTAGGTTATTTTAGATAAGTGCAGCATGTTGAAAGTTAAAATGTGTTTTTTAACTCCTTCAATTCATTCTGTTGTTTGTTGTGTTCAGGGCAGAGTGTGTGCAGAGAGGAGTGTCGCCCTCTAAAGCTCATGGGCTTGGATCTAACCTGGTCACGGAGGTTCGTGTGTACAACTGGTTTGCTAACCGGCGTAAAGAGGAAGCTTTCAGGCAGAAGCTGGCAATGGACACGTACACACCTCACATGAACCCTCTGCTGTCCCACACAGCATCACTCAGCCACCATCACAGCTCTGAATCAAGTAAGACTTTCAGATATGTAATAAAGGCAGGATCACAGACTCTGTTTACATGTTGCGCTGTCGCCTCACAAGAAGAAGGTTGCTTGTTCGAGTCCCGGCTGGCTCAGTTGGCATTTGTGTGGAGTTTGCATGTTCTCCCTGTGTTTGCGTGGGTTTCCTTTGGGTGCTCCAGTTTCAAACACAGCCCAAAGACATGTTGTATATATGAATTGAATAAACTAAATTAGCCGTAGTGTTCAGTATGTGTGTGAATAAGTGTGTATGGATATTTCCCAGTAATGGGTTGCAGCTAGAAGGGCATCCGCTGCGTAGACATATGCTGGATAAATTGGTGATTCATTTCGTTGTGGCAACCCCTGACGAATAAAGGGACTAAGCCGAAGGAAAATAAATGAATGAATGAATAGGGTGCCATAGCCTTATATTAAAGTTTTATTAAAACTTTATTAAAACTTATTTATAATTAAATTTTTATTTTATTTTATGGTCAAAGACAAGATGCCTCATTAAAATCAAATGAGCAAACAAGGTTTTAAATAAGCATATATATATTTTTCATGCAAAAACCATGAACGAAACACAAAGCATGTCATGTGAAACCATGTAAAAATAATGTTTTTCCCTCCACGACATTTTCAAGTGCTTTTGAGGTTTTTTTTATGAAATAATCCTCATTGTAAGAGCACTGATCTATGGACTATAGGTTATTTGCTGGTAGGTGGTGGTGAATAATGTCCCATTGTCACCCATTGTAAAGCGTTTAGGTAAAAATTAAGAAAACATCGTTATATATAAATATATAAAACAATTAATGATCATCTAAATTTTACTATATTTTTAATGATTAAAAACATTTTGGTGGCAAATGGGTAAAACCTAGTGGTTTGAAGAATGGCAGCAAAGTATACGATTTCATTGATAAGTCTTTTAACAAGTGATCAAATTTTTTTTAATAAAATAAATAATTTTTAATTTTTTAAATAAGCCTGAAAATATTTTGGTGCAACCATTGTTACACTCAATGACATTAAATATAGGATAGTCATTATTTTTGCCCAGCTAAAAATCTTTAGTTTAGGACACATTCTAATATACAGAAACAAACAAAAATGATTTTTTTTTTTAACTATTATTCATTCATTCATTCATTCATTTATTCATTTTCTTTTCGGCTTAGCCTTTTTAATTTGGGATCACCACAGCGGAATGAACCGCCAACTTTTCCAGCATATGTTTTATGCAGCGGATGCCCTTCCAGCTGCAACCCATCTCTGGGAAACATCCATTCACACTCATACACTACGGACAATTTAGCCTACCCAATTCACCTGTACCACATGTCTTTGGACTGTGGGGGAAACCGGAACACCCGGAGGAAACCCACGCTAAAGCGGGGAGAACATGCAAACTTGCAAACAAGGCAAGGCTCGAACCAGCAACCTTCTTGCTGTGAGGTGAAAGCACTACCTACTGCGACACTGCGTCACTTTTTTACTATTAATCTAATTTAAATAATAGCTTAAACCTACCAAGACAAAAGTAACCGTTTTCTTTTTTTTTTTTTGTTGATTTTATTCATATTACAAAACCCACAAAACAACATTACAGAATATTAACTTTTATGTTATTTATTATTATTATTTATTTCAGAATGTACATTTGTTAAACAAAACTGGCATTTAAAATAAATTGTAAAATAGAATAAAAAACAAAACTATGAAAAAACACTAGTAAAAAAAAAAACATTATTACATGAAATTTTAAATTACAGACATCTTTCCAAAGACATCTAATTTTTATCTATCCATTTATAAAGCGACCAAAAGGAGGCCACGCTTTTTAAAAAGTCTCTGCTTTACCTCTGATTACGTATGTTAATTTTTCAAAAGCAGGATTATCAGACATTTCCTTTATCCATTGTGCAAGAACAGGTATTTTTCCATACCAAAGTTATGACATGTTTAGCTTGTATAAATCTGAAATCTATAGAAAAAGAAACCATTTTCAAATATTTTTTATAAGATTTAATTATCAGATTTTTGGGACAGTTAAAAAACAAAAGTAAAAGAGAAAATAATAGTACATATAGAAAAAATGTAAATATATAACATTACAAAATAGATTAAAAAAGAAAACACACTTTAACACACTTATTGTGCAACAAGTATATCATGTGCATAAACAAAATATAATGTGCATTTATTTTACAAATTAAGCATATAAACAGGTCAGCACCGAAAGTTGAGGTTGGCAGCATAGTGTTTTAAGTAAAATAAAAAATTACAATAAAATAAAAAATAAATATTAAAAACCAAAAAAAAAACATCAAGTTAAATTAAATTTAAAATAAAAATTTAAGAGAGAGAGAAAAAGGAAAATATGTTAAACGAAATGAGCAGGGGAATGTCATGTTCTTTAAACTTGTGATTTTACATCAAGAAAGAGTTGTCTGCTTGTGCTATATCAGCACCATCTTCAATTATTTATTTTCTTTATAAGATATTTATTTTGTCTGTATCTGATATTGTTTATTTCAGCTTTGTTTCAATTGACAAAGATGTAATAGTTTTGGTCTAGTCAATGATAATAACTCTGGTTTACAGCCATATTCAACTGTTATGAGTGTGAATACCAGGTGTAAACAAGGTCGCAGATTTACTAGAAGTGTTTGAGTGTGTATTTCATTGTAATTCCTCCATCCTATTGGTGTTTGAACAAAACACACCTCCACACCCACAGACGCATGTCAGATAAAAGCACATAAAATGGCTTCCTACAATCTTTAGGGTCAAACCAGGGTCAAGTCAAGGTTCATGCTTTGCGTCTGGAAAGGTATGCGCATTTTCTCCATCAGAAGGTTAACAGCGTTTCACTGGGAAAGTGTATTTAAAACAGAAGGATCAAGCAGAGGTGGCTTAAAATGATCCTATGATAAAATCATAATGCTTTAGCTTAACTTCTGTCAATGACAAAAGCAGCCTGCTGTGTTAAAAAGCTGTAAACTGTCAGGCTGTGAAACGGGCCGAATTCCTTTGAATGTTTGCCGATGGATTAATATTACGTCAAGAGCGTGAGTCAGAGAGCCGTGTGTTTGCTCAAGCTGTGTGTTCAGCTACAGTCACTGACCTCCAACTGCTCAAAAGCAGATCTTTGATTGTATTTGTTTGTTGGAGAAAGAAAAGGCACAACATTTTAGTGTAATCGGATTTGAGGTATGTTTATGAGAATGCATTTAAAGAACAGACGCCATTGTAAAGGTTGCTTCGGTGTTTGGACTGCAGGTTCTTATCATTTTAGTTGCGTTTATGGCTGTGAAACAAGGTCAAATAAAGATAGACGGAATCAGGTCAGTGTGTGCGGCTAGCCGTTTTTTAAATGTTCAGTGTGACCAGACAACAAACTTCACATTGTGTTAGTTTAGTGGAGACCAATATTGAAGGAACACCCCACTTTTTTTTTTTTTTTTTTAAATAGGCTTATTTTACAACTCCTAGAGTTAAATGGTAGAGATTTACCATTTTTAAATCCATTCAGCCAATCTCCGGGTCTGGCGGGAGCACTTTTACAAAGATTATAGAAAACACAAGACGTGTCACTCGTATAGTTTTGAATGGGGAAAAGTGTAACAGTCAATATGGCGAACGAAGCCCTGCCTTCTAGTACAGGAGCCAATCTGTGATCTCTATAGATTGACAATTTTCTGGGAGAGAGGCTAGGACCAGCCATGAGTTTCTGCAAATTTTGTGTGGTTGAAACGTTTAGAAACAAAACTAAAGACTCAGTTGTTGTTTAATTTTAGTTGTGATTCCTAATATGAAATGTAATCGCAAACTTGCCGTGCAGTTTCGGAGAATTTGATATTCCCCATTCAAACAGAATGCCCTTGCATACTGCTTGAGAGGCATTTCAAAAATGGCTGCTGAGTGAAATGACTTGTTTTAAAGGGACATGGGCTGCGTCCGAAACCACCTACTACTCAGTAGGTACTGCATTTGAATTTAAACTTACTACTCGGCTGTTAGAAAAGTACGTTCTATACATGATAAATGTGAAAAGTATGAATGAAATTCGGACGTACTACATCAGCCATTTTGTCATGGACCTACCTGCGTCAATTGTGTCGCTTTACTCCCATTCATGAATTCGCTCGCGGGGCATCATGGGATAGCGCAGCATGCATGGGATGCGCACTGTAGAATCTCACCGGAAGTAGTAAATCATCCGGGTACTTCTCGCATACCAATTTTCGAATTCTATGAATTCGGACATACTACTCGACTCGCATACTGATTTTAGCATACTATATAGCATGGAAGTATGCGGTTTCGGACGCAGCCTTTGAATTTTAGCTTAGCTTAGCATAGATCATTGAATCGAATTTGATCATTAGGCCCACAATGAGAATGTAGTTCCTAAATTTTCATTTTCTACCAGTCTTTACAATGTAACTACAGAACAGTCAAGCTTAAATGATTAAATTATCAAATCTAGATGCTAATGGTCTAATTCGATTCAATTATCTATGCTAAGCTAATCTAAAAATGCCCCCTTCCAGACCATTAGCTTTTTCCTAAAAATGTGGAGAGTTCCTTTAGATTTTAGGATTCTTTGATTTTTTTTTTTAATAATAGCGTTCATGAAAAGTGATTTTCATACATTATAAATGTATTTTTTCATTTTACTTTTACTCTTGAACAAATAATGAGTTCTGGATTAATAAAAGTACTTTTTTTAATGGCATTTTTGAATGGTACTATCACAGTTTTCACAAGAAGATAAAGTAGCTCAACAGTTTTCAACACTAATGATTATAAGAAAAGTGTCTCGAACAGCAGATCATCATATAAGAATGATTTCTGAAGTATTATGTGAGACTAAAGACTGGATTTACAATGCTGTGATTAATTCGCATGAATAAAATACATTGTAAACTACATTCAATAAGAAAACAGTTATATTTCACAATCTTACAGCTTTTGATGTATAGTTAAATGAATGCTTTCTGCTTAATGAGCAGAATAGACGTCTTTAATTGCATCTAAAAATTTTACTGATCCTCGAAGGGTAGAAAAAGTAATTTATTCCTTATGTTTTTCCACGCAGAGCTCAGGTACAGTCAACAAGCAGCCAGTGAGGTCACTTCCTCCACCACCATCAGTCATCCGTCAGTATTGCAGCAGGTTTCTCCGGGAGGTCTGGACCACTGCCATGGCTTGTTATCGACGGATGCCAAAATGGTAAATCAAAAACTTCTTATATATACAATGGCCAGCATAAATAAATACGTCCCTCACTGATCTCTGTTTTAAATGAATAGTTTCCATAGGATGCTATACAATAAGATATTTGTTTATATACTAGTCTATTAGTAGGGCCAGATGGAATCTGCAGACATTTTTTGCTATTTCTGCGCAGAATTGTTTGAAAGATCTGCGGATTCATGTAGAATTATTTTGGGAGTATCATAACTAAAACCTTACCATATGAAATAAAAAGGAATACCTTTTAAACCTGTATTTAAAGTTTACAATGCAAATCCAATTAGACCCAACTTTTTTAGTAAACAAAGCAAGTCTCTCATATAATAAATCCACTAAAAGGCAGAAAATGTTACTTTACAAACTGTATTGTAAATAAATCATCTAAATAAATAGACTCAGTGAAAGGCTAGAAATCTGCGGAAATCTGCAGAATTCTGCACGCAAAACTGGAATAATTTAACCAAAGGATAAGATCACATTGCAATAATACACCCCAGTGAATGTAGTTTAATGTAGTATATTTTTAACAAAAAGGAAAAATAAAACAGTAAAAGAGAGAATAAAAATATTACATTTAATTAAAATTTTGTACTTTGTCATTTTTTGCAACACCTCATGTAAACTTAAATGTATTTTCTTTCTTTTTCTAAATATGTTAGATGACCAAACTCTTATTTTAATAGATATAACTGTTCAATAAAATGTAAAAATGTTTTGTTTAAAATTTATGATCACAGAGAAACGGATCAAAATATCCAAAAACTACCTACCAAACTACGTAACTAACTAGCTACCGACTCCACAACCAAATTATGACTACTAAGACAGGTAGGATCTTTTTTTTAACCAGTCAGTTTTGGAAAACACTTGATAACTGCTTGATAATAATGGCAGGTTTGGCATGCTGTCCCAGGAGAGAACCCTGAGCTTGGAGATAATTGAGCCCAGGGCTCCAGTCTGGTCAATGAGCATGTATGGGGGTACAAGATCAGGTAGTTCTCGAAAGCTCCCCATGGTAAAGGAGGAAAGCTTGGGTGGATTCTTCAAAAAACAAAGATAAGGTTAAGTGGGCTACTTACAGTGAGTTTGAAATAATCCGATTAGCTTACTAATGATTACAGTTGAGAAACCAGCCACGATCAATCATATCAGACGCTCCTCTCGAAATTAGTTTGTGAAACGTCACGTATATGTATTTGCCAGCACCATATTAAATTAGAGAGACAGCTGGTGAAAATGTGTTCAAATACCTAAATACAACAAGTTAAAGTCATGAGGATATAATGTAGAAGTGCTTTTCCAAAACTCAGAGTTGAAAACTGTTTCCATGATGTTTACGCTTTGGCAAGCACAGGTCGACTAACTCCTCTTCTGACCCGAAATAGCATGTAGTCGCAAAGATCAATGTACGTTTTACAGACATGATTGATAAAGTCGCCTTTATTTGAAAACCGACTCAACTGGGTCAAAGAGAGCATTGATCTAGCAAGTGCAGGCAGTGTGTTAAACACCATAACCCTTCCTTTATTCACTTTTATGGCTGGTGTGAATTGCCCTCCGCCAATAAACATTTGTTATGTTATGTTAGTGCGCTCTCACACTGCGAAAATGACATATTTCACTAGAGGAAAGGAACCATGCCCTTACTTGAAAAAGGTTTGCGTGCCTTTTATGTTTTATATTTACATTGTGTGTGCTTGTGTGTGTGTGTGTGTGTGTAGATCTCAGTCTCTGGTGGAGTTCTGCCTCCTGTGAGCACTCTGACCAACATTCACAGTCTGTCTCAGTCGTCTCATCATCATCATCATCATCATCACCAGCAAGCACAGAGTCTCATTATGAGTCTCGCTGCTCAAAGTGAGTGTGTCACCATTTCATTTCCTCCATCTTTATGTCATCAGGGAAACTTACTTCACCATTCAGACTTTATTTTGCATTAGTACTGGATATTTGTCTCTCTTTTTAGTTATAAACTCTTTCGTAGAGGTTTAAATAAAAGACAAGTTAGAATTTTTAAGATTTAAACTCAGATTTTGAAATAAAATCAAAATGGAAAGAAAGTAAAATCTTGCATTTGTAAAATAATAAATATTGAGACAATACTGAAATATAAACTGATTTAAACTCAGAAGTGATGTAAACTGAGAATTTTAATTTATAAATTCAGAATTGTGATGTATAACAACCCAATAAAAACACCAATAAAATGTTATAATAAGCTTAGAACAGCAACCTGTAAATTCAGAGTAGCACTGTATAAACTCAAAACTGAAATGTATAAAATCAAAACTGCATAATGCAAATTGAGAATTACAATGTAATTAGATAGAAATGTGTAAAAAGCAATTAGTTACAGCTTTTCTTGTTTGCTTTGACCTGGTAAAGAAACTAGGTTCCACTTTCCGTTTTCATTATCACTATGCCAGCAGAGCAAAAGACAAGTCTTGCAAATGTGTAAACCCTTTCTCATTGGGTTGACACATTTTCCCCACCATTTTTCAAAACAGTTAACACGGATGTCATTCAAGCAGTCCAAACTCCATTCAGACTTTATTTTGCATTAGAACTGGATATCTGTCTCTCTTTTTAGTTATAAACTCTTTCGTAGAGGTTAAAATAAGAGACAAGTCAGAATTTGTAAGATTAAAAAAAAAAAAAAGATTTTGAAATAAAATCAAAATGGAAAGAATGTAAAATCTTGCATTTGTAAAATCATAAATATTGAGGCAATACTGAAATATAAACTGATTTAAACTCAGAAGTGATGTAAACTGAGAATTATAATTTATAAATTCAGAATTGTGATGTATAACAACCCAGTAAAAACACCAATAAAATTTTATAATAAGCTTAGAACAGCAACCTGTAAATTCAGAGTAGCACTATATAAACTCAAAACTGCAATGTATAAAATCAAAACTGCTTAATGCAAATTGAGAATTACAATGTAATTAGATAGAAATGTGTAAAAAGCAATTAGTTACAGTTTTTCTTGTTTGCTTTGACCTGGTAAAGAAACTAGGTTCCACTTTCCGTTTTCATTATCACTATCCCAGCAGAGCAAAAGACAAGTCTTGCAAATGTGTAAACCCTTTCTCATTGGGTTGACACATTTTCCCCACCATTTTTCAAAACAGTTAACACGGATGTCATTCAAGCAGTCCAAACTCCATTGTTTTAGCTATGGTAACCAAACAGAAACCATCTATTCCTAACCATTAAACACTATCAAGATCAGTATGAATTCACTGAAGCACAGGTTTGACTGTCCTTCACACAAATCTTCAATTAGCAGTTTGCAAACATTAAAATCGGTGGAAGGTCTGTGTTGTTGTGTGCCAGCATGGATGGAGGAGGTCAATAGTGGCTATTTCCTATACCCCCAATAGATTTGACTGTAATTTGTTTTACATGTGTTTTCTGTAATATTTACAGTATTTTATTACTTTTGTCTGTTTTTTTTAATTATTATTTATATTACAGTTTTTCTTGTTTGCTTTGACCTGGTTAAAGAAACTAGGTTCCACTTCATTTTCATTATCACTATCCCAGCAGAGCAGAAGACAGGTCTTGCAAATGTGTAAACCCTTTCTCATTGGGATGACACATTTTCCCCACCATTTTTCAAAACAGTTAACACGGACGTCATTCAAGCAGTCCAAACTCCATTGTTTTAGTTATGGTAACCAAACAGAAACCATCTATTCCTAACTATTAAAAACTACCAACATCAGTATGAAATCACTGAAGCACCGGTTTGACACTCCTTCACACAAATCTTCAATTAGCAATCAGTCTGCAAACCTTATAAAAACGATGGAAGGGCTGTGTTGTTCTGTGCCAGCATTGATGGAGGAGGTCAATATGGCTATGTCCTATACTGTAGTATATTAGTTTACATGTGTTTTCTCTAATATTTACAGTATTTTATTACTTTTGTCTGTTTTTTTTATATACAGTATTTCAGTTTTCAGCCACAGTTTGAAAAATGTCATGAATTCAATATATATTTAATTAAAGCATATCTTATTCTTGATCCAATTCTTTGCAAAAAGGCAAATTTGACAGCCCAAATATAAAGACAACAAATGGCATTGGCAATAAGCTACAATGGCAAGCAATGGTGGTGCATTTTGAGTTCTGTATTTTGTATTTTGTTGTCCATTGTGTAATGATTAATTGAAAGAGCTCATATACTTGTTTGCAAGTTGTGTTGTTTGAAGGTAAAACTAGCTTTTGTTGCATATTTTAAATGTTTTGACACGATATGTGCCTTTTGCAAGCAAAATGTGTCGTTTTGACCATGAGTGCCGCTGTTTAGGCTTGTGTGTTTACTGTTTTGAAAATGTGGAGTTTCAGTTGACAACTGCATCAAAGCAAACGAGAAAAACTGTAATTACACATTTCTTATTCTGGATCAAATTCTTTGCAAAAAAGCAAATTTGACAGCCCAAATAGAAAGACGACAAATGCCATTGGCAATAGGCTACAATGACAAGCAATGGTGCACTGATTAACACTGAGTTCTGTATTTTTTATTCTGTTGTCCGTTGTGTAATGATTAATTGAACGAGCTCATATCCTATGGAATGTGCTTTTTTCGAGCAAAATGTTTCATTTTGACCATGAGTGCCGCTGTTTAGGCCTGTGTGTTTACTGTTTTGAAAATGTGGAGTTTCAGTTGACGGCTGCATCAAAGCAAATAAGAAAAACTCTAATTTACTTTTAAAAAGTGAGTTAGCCCATTGCTTAAAAGCAATAACTTGACTTTATTTTAAAAAAGTGAGTAAATAATTGTAACCTGGAACTGTTGAGTTGATTAAACTTCATTTTTATAATCATCCAAATGATGATTTGATAATAAACAATAAAAATTAAAGGTAACGGGTTTACTCACTTATTTTAAGTAAAGTCTACTGAATGATGCTAATGGGGCGCAGGCACGTGCACAGATAGGGCTCATCCTGTGCAGTGCACATGCCCTTTTTAGTCTTGGATAGAAAGTGCCCTTCTAAAATGATCAAAAGTGCCCCTGCGACACACTCTCCCTCTCGCTCTTCAGTATGCGTGCGCGACAACAACGCTCTTCAGTACGCGCGCGCGCAGCGACAACAACAGCAACAACAATGCCCCACCCCCCACCCCCCACCGCTCTTCACAAATTTTATCCTGCACATGCCCTTTGGACAGTCTCTGCACGGGCCTGATGGGGCGACACAGTGGCTCAGTGGTTGACACTGTCGCCTCACAGCAAGAAATTTGCTGTAAGAATAGTTCTGTTAAGAATAGTTCTCTCATTTCTGTGAAACTCAACTGATATTCCGTATTCAGAAATATATAGAAAAATTCTCTCAAGAGTACCTGACTGATTTTTCTAGATGTAAAAAGCACATTTCGTGTAGAAAACCTGCTGGTAATATTCATTATTATTAGAAATAAAGAGCTGTCCCTCAAGTGGAACACTGTCAAAAGTACATTGTTGTTTTTTGAGGTACTATCATAAACATTTAGGGTACAATATAGGCCACTAAAATATGCTAGGTACTAAAATATAACTTTAAGGCACTGATATAGATATTTTTAATCACAAAAATGTAACCTTTAAGCACAAAATAGTACTTTTTTTTTAAAGGATATTATCTTAGTGACAGTTTTTCTACCTCTATATTTCTGAAAATGTAAGATAAAATACAGGTAAAAAAAACAAAAAACTTTTTTTTCTGTAAAATTATTTTACTGATGGCATGGTGGCTCAATGGTTTGCACTGTCGCCTCATAGCAAGAAGGTCTCAGGTTCAAATCCTGGCTTTTCTGTGTGGAGTTTGCATGTTGTCTCCGTGTTGAAGTGGTTTTCCTCCGGGTGCCCCAGTTTCCAAAGTCCAAAGTCATGCGCTATAGAATTGAATAGAATATTGAAAAAACTAAATTGGCTAAAGTGTATGTGTGTGAATGAGTGTGTATGGGAGTTTCCCAGTACTGGGTTGCAGCTGGAAGGGCATCCGCTGTGTAAAACATATGCTGGATAAGTTGCCAATTCATTCAGCTGTTTCGAACCCTGATGAATAAAGGGACTAAGTTGAAGGAAAATTAATAAATGAATAAACTTCAAAATAATATTTTGAGTTAAAGTTAAACTAAAAATATTAAAATAGTTATAAACTCATAAAATATTTAAACTTGAGTTGTGAGCTGTATTGTTAAATTGTGAAGTGTAAAATAAAAAAAATTACAACATCTTAATATAGCACACTTAATGTAAAACACAAACATTTTTGTAATGTAATATGTACACTCTAAGAAATTACATTTGTTGTTTGTTCAAACTGCTTAATTAAAATGAGCTGGAACAACACAATTCTTGAGTTGTTTTTGGAGAAAACTTAATTGTTTTATGTTCAATCCACTTAAATTTTTTAAAAACCAGGTTAACTTAATTCATTCATGTTGTCCCAACACACATCGATTGTGTGGAACCCAGCATTTTTTACAGTGTACACACAGTTCATTCAACAAAGTTGTGCACAATTTGTGCAAATCGATTAATTTGAACTCAATTATTTTTATAAATTTAAGTCAATTGAACGTAAAACAAATAAGTTGTCCCTTAAAAAACTTAGGAATTTGGCTGTTTACTCTTTACTTTACTTTACTTTTCTTTACTTTTAATAAATAGTTTGAAAAATTTGAGTGTAAGATGTAAAATTAGATTTAAAAGATTAGAATTTTGAGATATTGAAACTGAAATATATTTTTAACAGAATGAAAATGCATTTTGAGATGTAAACTTAGACTTGCAAGCTTTAAACAAGACCATTAGCTGTGAATTGCGATATGAGAGTTGCTGTGCGTAAGTTTATAATTGTGTCTTGTAAAATCAGAACTGTGAGATCTATTCTCAGAATTGTGCGATGTGAATTGGGAATTGTGACAGTGGCTGTGTTTTGTGTTGTTGCAGGTCTGACGTCACCTCAGTCTCAGAGTGTTCCCGTCATCAACAGCGTGTCTGGACTCACGACTCTGCAGCCGATGCAGTTTCCTCAGAGCTCCAGCCTCACACAGCTCACCACAGCTCATATCTCCCAGCAGCCCTTCGCACAGTCACACAGTAAAGACAAATGTTTCTGTGCTCGTCAATGCAAAATATATCAGTTTCTGAATATCAAAACTCACATTGCACTTTGTCTTCTTTTAGTGTACTCTCCCAAACAAGAAGCTGGCCAGTTTTCCCATCCGTCTCGGTACTCCACAATGGACTCCAGCACCATCACACATCTGGGCTCCAGCAAGCAGGTCAGACAGTCTCCTATACTCCTTATTATGTTTAACCTAAAGAGTCATGAAACCTCCCTCATTCACCTCAATAAAAAAACTTGAATTAGCAAAAGGTAGGGAAGTGAGCGTGATGGAGCTAAGCAGGAAAGAAAGGGGACAAACGCTTATGCGTCTGTAACCCATATACTAACTCTGACTAAACACAATGGCCAATCAGTGTTTAAGAATCCATGTATCAGCACTCCAAATGAGAACAAGAAACAATTTTCAATACAATCATTCCAAGTATGTAGAAGCTTCAAGACGTTTCAAAAGTCTCCTGCATATTCAATGTGGCTCCTTTATGGCCAAAAATGAGATATAATGTCCTAGAAATGGAGACCCCACCTCCTCTTCATCTTTGTATTTGTTTAACAACCCCTCCCTCACCCACCCTTCATCTTTATATGACTGTCATACCTCCCCCCTAACCCTATTTTTGATTTTTGATCTGGGAAAATCATGTTAAAAACTAGGTATAGTATATTGGAAATATGTTAGCTTTATGCTAAAACAATTTGAAACTTTCTTACAACTTATTAACACAGAAATGTGCATGAAGGAAATTTTAGTAATGAACAGGCTACTAACATATGAAAAACATGTCAACAACCTGCTAAAACAAGATAGTAATTTGGATAAATTAGCAACACGTTAACCATTTGTTACTACATCCTAGCAACTAAAACAAGTTGAAACATACTTGTGGTAAAATATGCTGGTGCCATGCTAAATTATGTTAGCTAAATCAATTGCTACAGTATAGGTAAACATGCTAGAAACATGTTAGCAGCATTCTGATACATGCTATAGCCATGATAAGACATGATTAGATTTGCCAGTCAGGCTAACAGAAAACTTTGTCTTGACCAGTTCTTAAAAATATATTAGATATTTCTACACCTTTTTCTACACTTTTCTCTCCTTATAATCTGTGTCAGTAATGCTAACTCAATCTGTTGTCTCCGCAGTGCCCTTTGCAGGCCTGGTGAACGGACGCATTGGAGTGAGACCTTCCTCGGCAGCTTAGCAACAGCAGTGCTGGACCTGTGTGTTTCTGGGTAACCCGTGATCACAGAGAGCCGACGGGAAACTGCAGAAAATCAACAATACTGATTCATATACTACACCTTAAGCCTTAATGGATGACAGAACAAACTAGCGGAAATGTTAAGACGATGACTGAACTCTGAGCCGAAGCTTTCATACTAACCAAACTGAGGGGATGAAATCTTCAATCACACTGTACATACGATTTAATGAGGAAATGTGGTTTGTTGTAACACACAAGGTCAACTTTTCGTGCAAAACAATATGGAGCCAGATCAGTCTTAAATGACACAATTACAAAATAAAAATTCATAGACCATTTACATTTACAAAATTTAATTTGTAAATCCAAAACACAACTCATAAATGTACAGATCCAATTAGTAAATTTAAAACACACTTTGTAAATGCACAAAACAATTCGTAAATACACAAAACAATTCATTAATAAACAAAACACAATATGTAAATTCACAAAACACAATTCATGAATACACGAAACACACTTCGTAAATAGACATAACACAGTTCATAAATACACAAAACACAATTCGTAAATTCACAAATCACAATTTCTAAATACGCAAAACAATTCATAAATACACAAAACAGAATTCGTAAATAGACAAAACACAATTTGTAAATACACGAAACACAATTTATAAATACACAAAACACAATTTGTAAATACACAAATCACAATTCATAAAGACACAAATCACAATTCGTAAATATGCTAAACAATTCGTAAATACACAAAACAGAAATCGTGAATAGACAAAATACAATTTGTAAATACACAAATCACAATTCATAAAGACACAAAACACAATTTGTAAATACACAAAACACAATTCGTAAATATACAAAACACAATTCATAAATACACAAATCACAATTCGTAAATACACAAAACAATTCGTAAATAGACAAAACACAATTTGTAAATACACAAATCACAATTCGTAAATACGCAAAACAATTCGTAAATAGACAAAATACAATTTGTAAATACACAAATCACAATTCGTAAATACGCAAAACAATTCGTAAATGCACAAAACAGAATTCGTAAATAGACAAAGCACAATTCGTAAATACACAAAAAACTATTCAGAAATACTTAAAACAGAATTCGTAAATACACAAAACACAATTTGTAAATACACAAAACACAATTTGTAAATACACAAAGCACAATTCATAAATACACAAATCACAACTTGTAAATACACAAAACACAATTTGTAAATACACAAAACAATTCATAAATACACGAAACACAATTCGTAAATACAGGATACACAATTCCTAAATACATAAAACACAATTTGTAAATACACAAAGCACAATTCATAAATTCAAAACATAATTCATAAATGTACACATCCAATTCTTTTGGGCAAATATTTATGATTTTTTTTCTTGAGAAATTCACAAATTGTGTTTTGAATTGACATATTAAATTTGTGTATTTATGAACCGTGCTTTGAATTTATGTATTGGATTTAGTAATGCGGATGTGAATTGTGCTGTGCGTGTTTGAGTTTTATTTTCGCAAATGTATTATCTTTGAGACTGATCTGGCTCCATATAACAACAATAACAAAAAATAGCAGATCACCAAAAAGATTTTTGTTTTCCACACACATTTGAAATTTGAAATCACATTAGCAGATAAATTCATATTTTTCACTACAACAAAGTGGTCTTTCAGTTTCAACGCATGGACTTGCACATACGAATGATCCCAAAAGATGCTAAAAACGAAATGATTGCTTCTCAGGGATTGATTTCACACTACTCCACTGTAGCTAATATTATGAGAATGTGTAAAACTGCCTAACGGCTTTGATATTTTTATATATATATATTAGTTTTGGAATCACCTCAATCGTATTTATATTTGTGTAAATTGATAAATACATTTTTGAAGACAAGTTTTCTGGCTCTGTTGCTCATTTCTATGCATTTAAGTCAAAGTTATGTTGTAGCAGCAGGTAGGAAATGCTTTCACACACTAATGGAAACTCAGAGGTGTGAAGGAGGGTGATTTGGGCAATAAAAGGGTGTGTTTTTGTTTTCCATGCCTCATTAGCTCTATTTCCCTTGTTGTCTCGCTGGTCAAAGGGCAGGAGAGTCTCATCGAAGTTCACTTTTAGGAAGCGGACAGTTGAAGCCGTTTCCTTTACTCTTCTCACATGACTTCTCGAGCATGTGATTACAGTTTTTATCTGCCATGGAAACAAAATTAACTAAAACAATACCCTCGGGGGGTCATTTCCTAATTAAGCAAGTGTTTTACATAATCCTTTTGAATTGGTTAAAAACATACTGGATTGTTTTCATGATTGTTTATAAATATTACAATGTATAGTTCAGATTCAACAAAGAAATTACAGGAACATGCAGTATTTGTGAAAAGTAAACACAAAAAATGATTATTGATTAAAACAAAAGAAGGTATTAAATCGTAAAATATATTCCATCTCATACAGTTGAAGCCAAAGTTTTATTTTATTTTTTAATATTTCCCAAATCATGTTTAACAGCGAAAAAGAATCTTCACAGTATGTCTGATAATATTTTTTTTCTACTGGAGAAAGTCTTATATGTTTTTTTCGGCTAGAATAAAAGCATTTTTACATTTTTTAAAAAACATTTTGAGGTCAAAATTATTAGCCCCTTTAAGCAATTGTTTTGATAGTCTACAGAACAAACCGTTGTTGTAACTTGCCTAATTACCTAACCAGCCTAGTTAAACTAATTATCCTTTAAATGTCACTTTAAGCTGTATATAAGTGTCTTGAAAATATCTAGTAAACTATTGTTTACTGTCGTTATGGCAAAGATAAAATAAATCAGTTATTAGAAATGAAATAATAAAACTATTATGTTAAGAAATGTGTTAAAAAACATAAACAGGGGGCAAATAATTCAGGGGGGTTAATAATTCTGACTTCAACTATACAAATAATCATAGCAAGAAATTATCCTCATTCATATCCAACTATCAATATTTATGAAAGATCATGGGATACTGAAACTGAACATGCTAAAGCGTAATATACAAATATTTAACATTAAAACTTATAACTGTTTAACAAAAACATTCAGCCTTAGTGATCTTTAGAAACCAAATTGCAAATATACAACAGCCTAAACAATTGTCTGTTAATATACCATTGCTATTAAAATATTTTCCAAGTGATGTGGAGAATGTAGAGAACATAGAGAATATTCACACTTAATATAAATAATATTAGCAAATTTTCAAACATAAAAAATTTTATAACTAATTTCTATTCAGCTTTAGGTGCAATTTAAAGGCTTAATTAATTATCTACACTGTTAGCCCTTACCAGGCTTTTTTAAAGTATAATACTGGCAACACTGTTGCCAGCTACTCACTGTAATGGTTTGGCTACAGTGAGTAACTGGCAACAGTGTTGTCAGTTAATTACAGTAATAGAGCAGTAGCGGTTACTAACTGGAAACTGCTTACAGTTACTTACTGTACTGTAGTGTTACAACTCACAGCATTATACTGCCCACACATTAATAGTATGTCATTTAGAGTTATTGTAGTGTTACTAAAATTGATCAGTATTTTTAATAGTTATTATATTAGAAAGCATATCAATTCTTCAGACAAATGTATTTTATTGTTTTGGCATCAAACAAATATACAACAGAAAATGTACAACAGAGAATGTTCAACAGAAAATATACAACAAAATTAAAGAAATCTGCAGACATCAATACATTTTCTATTTAAATTAAACTAAAAGGTTCAATTAATAAACAACACATGCAGTGTATAGCACAGGTGTCAGACATTTAAATATCATCTGACATATAGCAGAGGGCCACAGGTCTGCACAGTTCAGCATTAACTCTAATTAAACACACCTGATCAAACTAACTGAGGCTCATTTGAAGTCTACAGGTAATGTTGAAGCAGGGTGGGAACTAAACTCTGCTGGCTGCAGCCCTCTGAGTTTGACAACATTTAAGCAACTGCCAACATTTATCACAATCACAGATCCAATAAAAAGCTCCAATATAAATTAACTAATTAACAAACTCCATCTAAAGCAAAAAAATAAAAAATCGTTCAGCACTGATCCTCATGTTGTTCCAAACCTGTAGTAATAAAAAACTAAACAAATAACCTGATTTATGCATTTATTTAAGAAACCTTTTGTTCTAAAAATACACTTTTAATTCAGTTGATGTTTTCCAGTCAACTTCATTGAGCCTCTGCAAAAAATGCATGGAAGTGCTGTTAAGAGAGAGATTTTTTAATTTCGCCTTTAAATGTTTGTCGTTCATATATAGTATAATACTTTTTAAATAAGCTCTAATGTGGCATTACTTGACTCCTGATATACAAGGTTACAATAATATAAGGTTAAAAACAAAAACAAAAAAGACCAAAAGAAAACAAAACAATTAAGTTTTTAAGTTTCAAATAATTCTTAAAAAGTTAGCATATCAAAAGAACACACACACACACACACACACATACAGTTGAAGTCTGAATTATTAGCCCCCCTGAATTTTTAACGCCTCTGTTTATTTTTTTTCCCAATTTCTGTTCAACGGAGGGAAGATTGTTTTAGCACATTTCTAATCATAATAGTTTTAATAACTCATCTTTAATAACTGATTTATTTTATCTTTGCCATGATGACAGTAAATAATATTTGACTAGATATTTTTCAAGACACTTCTATACAGCTTAAAGTACCATTTAAAGGCTTAACTAGGTTAATTAGGTTAACTAGGCAGGTTATGGTAATTAGGCAAGTTATTGTATAACAATGGTTTGTTCTGTAGACTATTGAAAAAAAAAATTGCTTAAAGGGGCTAATAATTTTGTCCCATTAATTGTTAAATAAAAACTGCTTTTATTCAAGCCGAAATAAAACAATTAAGACTTTCACCAGAAGAAAAATATTATCAAACATACTGTGAAAATTTCATTGCTCTGTTAAACATCAATTGGGAAATATTAAAAAAAGTTTTAAAAAATTCAAAAAGGTGCTAATTATTCTGACTTCAACTGTACTTACTCTAGATATGGTTAGAAACAGGTTTGTCAAAAAAAAAAAAAAAACAGGCACACACATTAATTCTCAATAAAAAAGTTTAAAATAATCATAAATACAAAAAACAAAACAAAGTCGGCAACACAGAGAATCCAAAGGCTCCAATCTTATTATTTTTTACTTAAAATGTTCAAGAAAACAAACTTTTCTATTGTTGTAAATTCACAGTTGAAAACACAGCTCTGAGAAATACTTAGCAACAAATTCACAACCTGGGACCTGAGAGTAGAGGTTTGCGAATACCTGTGATGATTCCTGTGCACGTTAGGAAACTGAAGAGATTGGAATTTATTGTTTTTTATGTGTATACAATCTGCTTATTTTCCAAAAAGACTGTACATTATGGAAATAGGCAAAATCCAATGAATAAATTAAATGAAAGTAATGTAAAACGTTATATGAGGAGAGGCTAACTAGCTAACAATGTGGCCAGTTCAAGACAACAACAATATAACTTAATACACAGATTTACAAATCCTCAAAAACATTTGAACACATTTTTCTTACTCATTGTAGATTTACGACTTAAAACATCAGACTCTGCATCTGAACTGCTAAACAGAGAATGGAGCACTCAGAAGTAAACAAATCCAACACCTGACTCCCTTAAAGGGCCAACATTTTCTAAATTTTTTATCACAATTTTGTGTTTAAAATAAGACAGACATCCTGTGTATGTGTGTGTCAATGTCTAAATCATTGTTTTTTTGCATTAGGTTAATGCAATGTTCTATATATAGCACAATAAAAGCATCAGAGTAGATGAGACAGTAATGGTTGAACAGTAATTTACCATTTGTTATCACAGTTACTACCTGTAATGGCTACATAAAGTAAATGACTGTAATTTATTCTTTGCACAACACAATTTCATACAAATCCTGCTCGTTTTACGGTAAAATACTGTTTCCTTTTATTACAGCAGAACACTGGCTATTTTACAGTTATTTACTGCATTATCTACAGTAAGGGTTAACACTGTAGACACACTAGGGTATTGGGCCATTAAAAAGTCTTTGAAAAGTCCTTCGCCTTTGTCTCTTTATACATCAGGGGTTGCCACAGCAGAATGAACTGCCAACTTATCCAGCATATATTTGCAACATAAAAACTCCACACAGAAATGCCAACTGACCCAGCCGAGACTTGAACCAAAGACATTCTCGCTGTAAGGCGACAGTGCTTACCACTGAGCCACCGTGTTGCTAATAATAATACAGTTTTTCTCAGAGGCTTTGGTGCATTTCTCACAACACTATTTACATTTGCACAACAGTTCATGCATTTCTCAAAACAATTAGTCATTTGTGCACATCCTAGTAGCAGTTTCTCATTCCTTCTAACAAATTGCAAATGCTTTCATCCAACTATATATATATATTTATTTATTTTTCCCCATTGGCTTTGGTGCAATTCTCACAACAGAATTAAAATTTTTTAAATGTTATTTTTATTCATTAATTTTCTTGTCGGCTTAGTTCCTTTATTAATCCAGGGTCGCCACAGCGGAATGAACCGCCAACTTATCCAGCAAGTTTTTACGCAGCGGATGCCCTTCCAGCCGCAACCCATCTCTGGGAAACATCCACACACACATTCACACACACACTACGGACAATTTAGCCTACCCAATTCACCTGTACCGCATGTCTTTGGACTGTGGGGGAAACCGGAGCACCCGGAGGAAACCCACGCGAAGGCAGGGAGAACATGCAAACTCCACACAGAAACGCCAACTGAGTCGAGTTTCGAACCAGCGACCTTCTTGCTGTGAGGCGACAGCACTACCTACTGCGCCTATGTTTTATATATTTACACTGTAGATATACAAATTTCACAGGAACTGTAGTTAGTTAAATACATATTAGATACATTAAATACATCACAACTTTTAAGTTATAATATTTTACATGGGCGAAATGATTTTTATGGTTACTATTTTTACAGTTTGGTTGTATTTGTTTAACTAAAGGCAGAGCATTAGAAACATACATGTACATAAAAAAAAGTACACACACTGCAAAAAATGCTTTTCTTGCTTAGATTTTTTGTCTTGTTTCTGGTCTAAATATCCAAAATTTCTTATATCAAGAAGCATTTTTTAGACAAGCAAAACATATTGCCTTGTTTTGAGAAAGAATATGCTAATATTAAGTCAGTTTTTCCTTTAAACAAGCAAAATATTCTGCCAATGGGGTAAGCAAATTAATCTTGTTTTTTCTTTTGACATAAGATTATTTTGCTTACCCCATTGGCAGATTATTTTGCTTGTTTTAAGGAAAAACTGACTTAATATTGGCATAATATTTCTCAAAACAAGGCAATATGTTTTGCTTGTTTAGAAAATTCTTCTTGATTTAGGAACTTTTAAATATTTGGACTAGAAACAAGTCAAAAATTCTAAGTAAGAAAACCATTTTTTTGCAGTACAAATGATACAACTTCTTGACTGTAGATAGATTTCCAGATAAATGTTGAGATGTAAATGTTCTGCAGTTTTATTCTGGTTTCTTCATCTACCACTGCTGATTTCAGTTTATAGATCTCAACAACATACAAATCGAGTAAGTCTGTTGAACACTGCCAAAATGCTTTTCTTACTTAAATTTTTTGACTTGTTTCTAGTCTAAATATCTGCATATTTATTGTCTAGACCAGCAAAACTTATTGTCTTGATTTAAGAAATAATATGGCAAAATGAAGACAAAATGAATACGAGCAAAATAATCTGCCAATTGGGTGAGAAAAATAATCTTGTTTTAAATCGAACACAAGATTATTCGCTTGTTTCAAGGAAAAACTCACTCAATTTTGGCACATTACTTCTCAAAACAAGAAAACATACTATGCTTGTCTAGAAAATGCTTCTTTATTAAAAAATGTTTAGATATTCAGACTAGCAAAGACAAAACCTTTTGGTAAGAAAAGCATTTTTTGCAGTAAAAAAGCTTGTGGATTCATAATATGATCTCTGACAATGTTCTGAGCTAGTTTCCGCCTGAACTGAATCAACTGCACTGTAGCAGCAACAAGTTAGCAACTAGCATGTTAGCTTCTGTAAAGTTAAGAGGCAGCAGTAAACACAATGTCGTGGACAATGAAGGACAACATGGAGCTGTGAAGCAGTAAATGTGCAGACATGAAGAGATGTGATGTCAGCGACTGCCGGACACTCACTGGGGGCAAAGGTCAGAGAGACCAGAGACAGAAAAGCTGACTACACTCCTGTAACCCTCCGCTCTCTGCCCACACTGAACATCCCGCTTTATCCCACAGATTCCCACATGTCTACAAAGGGAAAATATCTATACCAGTGATGCTCAAACTAGGGCCCGTGGGCCAAAGTTGACCCAAGGTAATCTTTGATTTGGGCCACCGTCCCATCTGAGGAGAGAATTATGGAGAACATTGGGGAAAGTGTCTTTAGACATCGTCATTTTGAATTGAACATAACCTTTTTTGTTTGTTTGTTTTATTGCTGAGCTACAAAAAAGCAAACTAAAATTGAATGCTTCAATTAAATGTTGTAAATGAATCTGATTTTTAAAAAATGCACAAAACATCGCAAATGCAAAGCTTGACTTGTGTATTCGGCATTGAACTCCATTGTGTAATAAATAGGGTTGTGTTTGTTTTTACTGTAATAAGTTGATCACTGCATTAGTTTATAAAGATTTTTTTTAAATATTAGGAAATAAACAAAAAATTACTCCTATTAACTTTAATGTAATACAATTTTCTATATTTACTGTATCTCCGGCCCTGAGCCCCCAATCAACTTTGGTTTTTGGTCCCTTAATAAGAGAAAGTTTGGGCACTTCTGTTCTATACGAATATTGCAAATGACATAAAAGCTTTTAATGTTTTTACGCCAGCTTGGGTTTTGTAGTTTTTGCAATTTTGGCACTCGTTTTTTCTGAAACTGGACTAAATTGAACCAGGAGACTTTGTCAGAGAATGGAACAGATGTCACAAATTATATTTTACACTACAAAAAGGCATTTCTTAGAGCTTTTGTCTTGTTTTAAGTACAAATATACAAATTCTTAAATCATCTTTTGGACAAGTAAGAAATATTGTCTTGTTTTCTGAAATGAGTCAAAAATTAAGTGAGTTTTTCCTTAAAACAAGGGTAATAATCCATAATTTTTTAATTATTTCATGCAGATTTAGTGATGCATAGAGACATATCATTTTTTCAAAACAAGACAATATTTGTTACTTGTCTAGAAAACACTTCTTAATTTAAGTATTTTTGATATTTGGACTAGAATCAGGACAAAAACTCAGAAAAGCCTTTTCATACACTGCAAAAAATGCTTTTCCTACTTAGAGGTTTTGTCTTATTTCTAGTCCAAATATCCAAATATTCTTAAATGAAGAAGCATTTTCTAGACAAACAAAACTTATTGTCTTGATTTAAAAAATAAAATGGCATAATTGAGTGTTTTTTTCCCTAAAACAAGCTAAATAATCTGGGGTAAGAAAAATAATCTTTTAAACTTTTAAAACTTTCCCAGTGATGAGTTGTAACTTAAAGGGCATCTGCTGCGTAAAACATATGCTGAATAAGTTGGTGGTTCATTCCGCTGTGGCAACTCCAGAATAATAAGCCAAAAAGAGAATGAATGAATAAATAAATTAATAAATGAATGAATAAATCAAAAACAAGACTATTTTTCTTACCCCATTTGGCAGGTTATTAAGTTTGTTATAAGAAAAAGGTCACTCAATTTTGGGCACATTATTTCTTAAAACAAGCCAATATTCTTTACTTGTCTAGAAAATGCTTCTAATTTAAGAATATTAAGATATTTGGACTAGAAACAAGACAACAACTCTAGGTAAAAAAGCTTTTTTTGCAGTGAATGAAAAATCTTTTTTTTTATTTGAGTGTCTTGTTTCTAGTTTAAATATCAAAAATTCTTAAATCAAAAAGCATTTTCTAGACAAATAACAAATATTGGCTTGTTTTCAGAAATTATATGTCTTTATGTATCACTCTGCAGTGTATAGGCTTCAATTTAATTTGAACCAAACGTGTAGTTACAACACTTAGCCTTTGTAGGGCAGAAATGTTCAGGACATTCTGAAGCGTTACAAGCAGAAATGTGAGGTTTGCTGACACACTTTTGCTCTAATTTGAACATAATTTTCAGGAGTTTTAGGATTCTTTTATTGAACTTCTTGTGAGTGGATTTTTTCTGTGTATGTACAGGTTTTACTTTCTCATGACAGAGGGGTGATTTTTAGGAAAAGAGCCTTTATCACAGAACTGTTTCCACCCCCGGGTCCTGCTGTGAGGCTTCAGTGTGTGGGCTGAACATCAGCCTACAGTGACCCCATACTGACCACTTGTTGAACAGTCGATTCTGAGCATTTCAAGCATGCTGACTAAACATACTGTCCGGTCATCACAAGCTTTGAAACAAGGCTTTCATTTATATGTACAAAATGTTGGAAAATATTACTTTTATTCAGCAAGTATGAGTTTAACTGACCAAAAGTCACAGTGAAGACATTCATTTTTGTATACCTTATTTTTAAACATCGTCTGTTTTAGTATACAGCATATACAGCATGAGTGAATACTAACAGCAGTGAAGACATTTCTAAGGTTACAGAAATTGCTTTTATGTACATACAAGAATTCTAAAAATCTGTATCATGGTTTCATTAGTACATTAGTACACACACACTTGTATATATGGTTTATGAGGACTCTCATTGGGCATAATGTATTTTATACTGTTCATTCATTAATTTTCTTTTCGGCTTAGTCCCTTTATTAATCTGGGGTCGCCACCGCGGAATGAACCGCCAACTTATTCAGCATGTTTTTACCAGTGAATGCCCTACCAGCTGCAACCCATCTCTGGTAACCACTGAGCCACCGTGCTACCCTATTTTTAAAACACACATAAAAAAATATTTAATTAATGTTCAGTTTACTGAAAGACTGTGAGAGTACCATACACCAGGGTTTCCCAAACTTTTGAGCCCGCGACCCCAAAAATGACAATGCCAGTGACTTGCGACCCCCAATATCCTCTGAGGTGGTATTAAATACAGAAACCTGGCATGCAATGGTGCACACACACCAATAGACCCAAGTCTATTCTTTGTTTAATTTTTATAATGTATGTCAGTGCTGTTAACGGGCCAGAAAGTTTACCCTGGTGTTATAAAACCAATCTGCTGCATCTGACGCTATTGCTGTGTCTTTAATATATTGTTATTACCCCAGGAGTCGCATTCCAATAGTAACTATAAGCTACTATAGTAACTATATAGTATATAGTAACTATAAACGACTATTTTTTCTCTTCAGTAGGTTATGGATAAAATGCGGTAAATCTTATAGTTAAATAAATAGATTTTTTTAAATCACCAGCGACCCCCCCCCCTTCATTCTCCTGCGACCCCTCGGGGGGTCCCGACCCCCACTTTGAGAACCACTGCCATACGCCATATTGTTCTAGAATCCCTACAAAATACAGTTCTCTGATTTATGGCTGTCTTTGGTCTCTAGAGCCATTTTTAGCTTTTGCCAGAAGATCTTGTTATCTTCTCCAGGTTTGGGCCAGCGGATGTAGGTTCGCTTCTTCACCAGTTTCCTCAATCTGTGGTACGGCGAGAGCTGGTGTGTGGGAATGTCCTCCAGAAACACCAGGATCAGCACATCCTTCTGCTCATCGAAAAGTCTGAAGCTAGCAACCTGCACCTCACTGGAGCACCAGTTGCTCTTCAGGTAGTTCCTGGTGATCAGACAGATGGTTTTGCGGCTGCTGTAAATGCCGTCAACGATGTTGTCTATAATTGGCCTCCCTGGTTCAAAGTCTCGGTGATGGAGGCACAATCTCCAGCCTTGCTCTCCTTCCAGTTTGGGAATGAGTTCCTCCATTACCCAAGCCTCATCTAAGGTGTTGTAGGAAATGAAAGCGTCGTACTGGAACGTCTGACCGCTTTGATTCCTCCTACTGTCGTAAAGAAAGGCCAAGAAGAGGTAATATGTATAAACCACCTGATAACGCAGAAAATTCCAGATAAATGACAACAGGAGGGTGAGGATGACCAAAATACTGCTGCAAACAAAGCAGATGTAATCCCAGTTAAAGGTGCAGGAATCAGTGTTAAATTCAGCTAAGCTTGTGCCTCGTAAGGTGCGAGGATAGCTGCACGTGTACCTGCTCAAATAGTACACCTGCGTGGATTCATTCTTCTTGGCCCAGTCAATGAAAAACGCATTGTTACAATCACAAGTGAACGTGTTGTTCTGCAGGTCAAGGACTGCCAGTCGAGGCAGTGATTTAATCAGAGTTTCGTTGACGCTGTCAATCTCATTCCCGGAGGCTCTCAGGGTTGACAGTTTGTTGAGATTTGCACCGAGTAAGAAGTTGAGTGAGCGTAGCTGAGTTCTTGAAATAATAAGTTTGGTCAGGTTAGGAATAGGGTGGAAGAGCTCAGGTGGGATCGCGTCATCTTCTCGTAGAGCATTCTTGGAAAGATCCAAAAACCAAAGCTGTGGGGTGAAATTGAATAGGTTTGGATTTAGTTGATTGAGATTTGTGTTCCCGATATAAAACATCTGCAAAGAGGATAAACCTTCAAGCAGATTTGAGGGAAGTTGTCCGATTCCACGCCGCTGACTGTACAGGGACAACTCTCTTAGGTTCTTCAGGTCTTTAAAAAGAGGGTATTTCAATTTATCGTATGCAAATGAGATGCTGTTGGCAAACAAGTCGAGGTTTTGGAGGTTGGGCATGCCTGAGAATACATTTGGGTGTGTAGTTAACGTTTTCCCTGTTATTTTGTTTGATGAGAGAAATAAAGAGGTCAGGTTCTCCAGTCCTCCGAATGCATAGCCTTCGATCTCTGAAATCTGATTGTCCTCTAAGGACAAATTGTTTAGCTGTGGCAGATTTCCGAAAGTGTGACTTTTGATTAAGCTTAGCTTATTATAACTAAGCTGCAGCTCCTTTAGGAAATATGGCCCATTGCTGAAAACATCATCGATCTTTAACAGATTATTAGTTCCGAGTCTGAGGACTTCAAGACTCTTGAGGTCCTTGAACAAACATGATCTAATGGATGAGATTTTGTTACTGTACAAGTACAGAGTTTTCACCTGGGTTAAATTGGCAAAGTCATTACAGGAGAGCTTGTGGATGTGGTTTCTACTGAGATCAATGAACTCCAGACTGGTGAGAATTTGAAAGGAGTTTGTAACTCGGGTCAGTTTATTGATTTGGAGTTGCAGTTTTTTCAGTTGCTTGAATCCTCTGAACATACTCTGGGATAAATTGGATATTTCATTGCCTCCTAAATCTAATTCGCTCAGCTCAGAACAGGGATCAAACATGTGGTTGGTAAGGTGTTTTATTTTGGTAGCAATTAGCCGCAGCACTCTAAGCATCGGAGAACATACGCTAAGCAGAAGGCTAGTCTTGTTCAACCGAACGTTTCCATTAAGTCTGATTTTATTTAGTGTGTTGTTAAAGCTCTGAAGCACATTATCAGCAGTCTGAATTGACATGTTTACATCCATGAAGTACAGGGTTTTCACTGAAGCCAAGTACGATTTTTCTGTGACGTTCCATGCCATGGTTCCATTATGACCACAGTAGGATAAATCCAGGTGATTGAGAGTTGGAAATATATTGTTTGTGAGCTGAAATGCTGCGAAACGGTTGTTGGACAGATCAAGCCTTTTTAATGACAAGGGTTTTGTTGACAATTCAGAGGAGTTGAAAACGTTAAAATAGTTGCTTCCGATGTACAGTTCCTCTAAATATAGCGATGCAAGAACTGGCTTGACGTCGTCTATATGACGGAGGTGATTTTTGGATAGGTTTAACACTTGTAAACTGTGAAGTGTGCTGAAAGCTGACTCTTTGATGACGCTGATATAATTGCGATCCAGTCGTAGCACCAGCAGATTGGTTAGGCCTCGTAACATACCGTTTGACACTGCATTCAATCTGTTGCTGGCCAGATTGAGATCGGTTAAGTTAAAAAGACTGCCAAATGCACCGTCTTGAATCTTAGAGATTTTGTTGTTGGATACGTTCAAGTATTGTAAGTTTAATAAAATGTTAAGGTCTTCAATCTGGATCTGTGCAAAAGAATTGAAGGAGATATCTAAAATCCAGGTATTGTTGGGCACCCGCGGAATCGTGAAGAAGTTCATTTTGTAGCAAAGCACTTTTGGCTGTGTCTTGATGTCTTTTTGAGAACTGCTGATTGTGCAATTGGTTAAGGAAAATGTGCTGCAAGGGGAAACCATAGCACAGATGGTGATACAAACTGTTATTTGTTGTAGCGTTCCCATGCTTTCTCTTGATTTCCTTTTCATTTCTCTTCAAATGAATTTGCCTTGGAAATGTCTGTTTTTAATATGTGCCTTTCACCCTGCCTTCTAGAAGCATTTTCCTACAACAAATATAATAAAACAAATTATTCAAGTCAAAATAAAAGCAAAATATATAAAAATACATTCAAAATTAAATGTAAAAGGTGCTAATTATCGTTTGAATTCATTCATTCATTTTCCCTTATTCGTCCCTTTATTCGTCAGGGGTCACCACAGCAGAATGAACGGACAACTTATCCAGCATATGTTTTACACAGCGGATACCCTACCAGCTACAACCCAGTACTAGGAAACACCCATACACACTCAGTCACGCATATACACTACGGCCAATTTAGTTATTTCAATTCACCTATAGCACGTGTGTTTAGGGGAAACCGAAGCTATTGTTTAAATATGTGAAATTAATGAATAAATCTTTAAGACATATAAACATATGATGTCATTAAAATATATCAAAAGTTTGATGCTATCATGATTACTGTACAATGATGAAACAAACTGTTCCTCTCACAAGCATAACAAAGAATCTTATAGCGCAACCTGAAATACTTCATTCCAGCAACACGGACACGAGCAGCAGAAACGTGTTGTTTGTGACACTTGTAGAGCCGAGATAGTGCTTAAAATAAGCAGTTGGCTAGAAAATAAAATAATATTAATAAATAAAATGAAATAAGTATTTTGATAAATAGAATTTGATAAATTCAGAACTTTTCAAAACTAGTGGAATTACAGTGTGTGATAAATATGTAGCCATTTGGCATATAATTTACATTTAATTATCATTTTCGTCTTAAAAAAATCTGTTTTCATTCATTCATTTAAACAGAACATAACAGAACAGAAAAGATTAGAGCAGAACACTTACAATGTGCCTCCAGCCGCACAGCTTCATACACAGAAATGAAACCCATTCTCCCAAACTCCCCTAGTATTATGTTATGCTGTAACAGGAAGTAATGTAGCTAAGTGGCAAAGCTGATGGAGAAAAAAAAGCAGAAGTAAAACCCATATATAGCATGTGCACATCCTGTAAACCTATAGGTCTATATACAGTATGTGATACCTGTGACAGGCTATGTAGTTTAATCTGATTACTCTCAGATAAACTTTAATACTTTATCTGACACTTTTTTCATATTATTAATATTATTATTATTTAATTGTATACAGATACATGTGCATCTGCTGGATTACTTCATACTGTACTATTACGTAATTTCATTTCTGCTTTTGACTTGACCAGCTTGAAGACCATGATCCCCAGAGGCGTGCAGTCAGTAACGACTATACAGAAAAGTTTTCTCATGTGACTGAAAGCTCGATTTCCTTCTGTCATAGGAAGACGTTTATTTCTGTTAATGATCTATGGCTCTGGAATGCGGTGTGTAAACTCTCTCTGGCTTTCACTCTTTCGCTCGCTTCATATATGGAATCAATGAAATAGACAAGTTTGTGATAATAAAAACCTTCTTTGCATCGCAACACATCTTTTGTATGTTTGCTGGTTAGGTTAAATCAGCAAACAGTGAAAGTTTTCCAAAGTTCCCATATAATTTCATTTTCGGGGCCAAAATGAGAGAGAACATTCTTTGTAGGTCTTTTTTGTTTTTTTGGTAACCAAAAACTATCCGACAGTTTATTAAGAAACATTCTCCTAAAATAGACAAGCTTGCTAGAGGAATAAATACATATTTAGCTATTAATTTAGCCTATTCAAGTCCTGTGAAAAGATGATGCCAACTTTGAGGTCTCCATAATCCTGAACCAGGCCTAATCCTGAGCAGATGCTGTGGTGGTCATGAGAGGAGAGAGCATAAGACTGATTCCTGAAAGACCCAGTGACTGACCAGTCTCCGCATTGATCTTTTGGGCCAGCCTGTACAACCACCGGTGACCTGCTCACACCTGCAGCCTCTCCACAATAGATGTAGTGTTCTCCAGCCTCCGGCGCATAGACTGCAGCTGAGCACAAGAAGTTTTGCCAGAGGAGAAATGGCCGTCCCCTACTGAGCTTGGTTTCAGATTTTTTTCCCTTCACTTTCATCAATTTGAGAATTTTTGTTGCTCACCACTGTCATCATGGCTTGCTTGGTTTGGGACTTGTGGAGCTGCTCATCAATGGATTTGCTCTTTAGTGTTTGGACTTTTAGCAGGGAAAATTTAACCAACTAAACTGAACTTCAACTCTGAAAACTGGACTGACACTGTTTCAATTTACCAGAACTTCTATGTTAAGCTGCTTTCACACAATCTGCATTGTAAAAGTGCTATAGAAATAAACCCAAACTGAATTGAGTTGAACTATAATCAATATATAATTGAGCTTAAGAGAATTAAAATCAATATAAAAATACATAATTGCAATGTTTCAGTTGAATAATTTCTTACAAAATATTAAAATATATTCCAAAAGAAAGTGTATATGCTTGCATACTTTTATAAATCCACAAGTGTACCATAATATAATTTCATTTATCATTTTAATATAGACTAGTGTTATCATAAATGACCATGTACATGTATGTATGTATATATATAATAATATATATATATATATTATTGGCAGTTACACAAATGTATTATTAAAGGAAAAGAAAAGTAGAAGAAAAAACATTTAAATGACTTCCATAAATACCTTCTGGCCTGTGTGTTTATTAAAAAGGAAACAGCGCTCTCTTGTGAACAAGAAATGAAAAAAATAAGAAGGCGAAATAATCAAACGCCGAATGTACGTTAATAATGAAATCGCGATCGACTAGTCGTGTCTGTACTCAGCATCAATGGACGCCTTTGACTTGTTTAGAAAGCTTGGGTCTGGAGCAAAGTTTGATTTAAAAAGGTTTGCAAAAGATGCAGAGCGATTTAAGGTAGGTCTGATGTAAAGTACACAATAGAGCTCATGTCTATTAGGCTGTTGTTTCGTAAATACAAAGCAATGTGTAGTTTTCAACCTGAAATGCTCCCACATGGCTAACATGTGTTTTCATTTTCCATTGAATCTCTATGGGAATGCTAATGCTAATGCAAGTAAACCCAAGTAGCGCAAAAAGAGTGTTCGTACACAGTAGTAATATTATAAATACTATTAGACGTTTTAAACGTTTTGAATTTTACAGTTTGTTCTCGGTTGCACACCATATGTCATGTAATTTCAGATATTAAAGGGATAGTTCACCCAACAATCTGAATGTACTCATTATTTACGCACTCTCAAGTGGTTTCAAATCTTTACGAGTTTCTTTATTTTGTTGAACACTTAAGAAGATATTTTCAAGAAAGCTGAAAAGAACCATTGACTTTAACAGTAAGAAAAACAAGTACTATGGGAGTAAATGGTTACAGGTTTTCAGCTTTCTTCAAAGTATCTGCTTTTGTGTTGAAACAGAAGAAAAAAACTCATTAAGGTTTGAAACAAGTAAAGGGTGAGTAAACCCCATTTAAATATTTTTAAATATCAACATGCTAATTTAATGACTGCTAATTATTGTGTAATTCTTCTCGCAGGTAGGAAAATCTCAGAGCAAGGACAGCTCAGATCAGCTGTCCGGAATTAGATATTTTGGCAGAGAAACACAAGAGGACACATCTCTGGATTCCAGACCAAATGAAGATGATGCTGAAGAAGGAGAAGCAAGTGATGAGGAGCAGAAACAGGCTACAGAGTCAGTGAAAGCCGCTCGAAAGAAAAAGAAAGGAGCCAAGAGAAAATCTGAAGGTAAAGCACCTTTCAAGCTCTTCAAATATTTTATGTTAGGATTTAAATTTAAACCCCTCTTTCTCCATTTTGTGGTGAAACAGATGCAGAACCTGAGACAAGAGAGGGAGAAGGGATCCAATGGATGTCTTTGCAAAACAAGACGAAAGAGGCGAAGCAAGAGTCGAAAGACAAGCCTTCTTTAAAAAGGTTAAAGCAGCTTCATAATGAGAAGGTATGAGCATAGTGCATTAATGTGTAGAGAATATTTCACGTTTATTTTTCTTTCAGCAGGAATATTTAAAATGTCTGTTAAAGGGATTGTTCACCCAAAAAGTATTATATAATATAATTATTTACTCTCCCTTGTGAGGTTTTTAACCCTTGATGAGTTTTCTTTTCTTGAACACATAAGAAGATAATTTCAAGAATGCTGCTTGCTGGCACACATCGATTTCCTTAATGAGAAAAAGTACTATTGAAATCATTGGGTGCCAGCAACCAGCATTCTTCAAAATATCTTCTTTTAGGTTTAACAGAATAAAGAAACTCAAATAAGGTTAAAGGTAAGTAAATGATGACAATTTTCATTTTTTCATTACAAGTCCTGAACTAAACTAACCAGTTATGACAGAGCCGGCCCAAGCTTTCGGGAGCCCTGAGCAGAATTTGTTTGTAGGCCCCTCAGTGCAACCAATATCACTAAATTATCTTTTTTTTTTTTTAGACACTATAAATCTAAAATGCCCATTATCAATTTTTGATGTAGCTTTGTTGTTTGCATCATACAATTTTTCTTTTTGTAAAAGGGTTTATTCTGCAAAAACAACCACCTATATGTACATTATCTTTTTATTACATGGGTACATGCCACAAAAACAAATGATCGATCTGAGCTGTAATAATTTACTCTGTAATAATTTATTATCTCTTTAATAACTTACTACTACTATTGTTATTATTATTATTTAGTCACAAGATGGCGCCAAACAGTGGGGTGAAAGATAAGCATATAAATATAGAACTGTCAAGATGATTCATAGTACACGGTCATGTAATAAGTAATGTTAAACGTTTTCAGTATTAAATCATAAGACAGAATCTTTTTTTATTATTATCACCAAATTTATAAAACATGCATTTATTTTTATTACAGAATTATATCCAAGAAAGTTATTTTGCATAGAAGGCAAACACATTAACCACTTAAACTCTGCGGACGCGGTACCGGGTCCGAGACGTCATCGACTTTCGCTTTTTCAGGGGGGTTATTGTTGTTGTCATCGTTGTCGTCGTGGCGCGCGTACTGAAGAGCGGTGTTGTACTGTACAGCGGGGGGAGGGGGTGGTTTGAGGGTGCGTACTCAAGAGCGGTGTTGTCGCGCGCCTACTGAAGGGCGGGACGGAGGGTGTGTCGTGCACTTTTGGAAGGGCACTTTATATCCAAGACTAAAAAGGGGATGTGCACTGCACAGGTTGAGCTCTATGTGTGCACGTGCCTCTATTTACTAATAGCCAAGATGATTTATAGCACACAGACGAGCCTGTGGCATTAGTTTCAGCGGTTGTTATCTGGGATAGCATATTTTGGAATTCTGCGATTGACCAATCAGAATCATGTATTCCAGAGAGCCCTGTAATTATGTTAATTATTCACCAGTAATAAATGTTCATTTCTCTAGATTCTTATAATTAATTGAAAACTAATTAAACTAAATGTGTTTTAGGTGAATCGAATACGGCATCAGAACCGAATTAATGTGCACGGGACGGACATCCCAGATCCCGTTACCACTTTTGAGGAACTGCAGAAGGAGTATGACCTGGACCCACGAATCATACACAACATCCAGGCTGCGGGTTTCCATACCCCAACACCCATTCAGATGCAGGCCGTCCCTCTCATGATGCATGTAGGAAAGACTTCAGCTGCATCACAAATAAATCAGTTTGCTTTCTTGATTCTAAATTCCTTCTTTTTATTGCACTGATGTGTTTATTTCAGAAAAGAGAGATCCTGGCGTGTGCTCCTACAGGCTCCGGGAAGACCATGGCCTTCTGTCTGCCGCTGCTTGCCCATCTTCGTCAGCCCCTCAATAAAGGTTTCAGAGCCCTCATCATCTCCCCCACCAGAGAGCTCGCCACACAGGTGAATGTCTAACACACCTCATCAAACCATACACACGCTGACTACTGTGTGAACATATTGCCTGACTGACTGTGTGTGTGTGTGTGTGTGTGTGTGTCTGTGTGTGTCTGTCTAAAGACCCACAGAGAGCTGCTTAAGCTGTCAGAAGGAGTGGGTTTCAGAGTTCACATGATCAATAAAGGAGTTGAAGCTGTGAAAAAATATGGGCCCAAGTCTGCAAAGAAATTTGGTATGTGTCTTATTTTGGCAAAATGTTTCCCACTTGTTTTAACCTGTTTATTCTATAACCTGCTTATGACTTTTTTTTTTTTTTTTTTTACTTCAGGGTGACCATAGACCCTTAATTTTTAAAAGCAAGTGTAAAAGCTTTTTATAAGACAACCTGAACCACACTAATTATATGTCGCTCTTTATATTATCAAAGATCTTATGATCTTACAAAGTATTTTATGATGATAGTAATTCCAATCAATGAGAAAAACACTATTATAACACAACCAAACTTTCAACAAATAGAAAACCTAGTATAACAATAATGAGAAAAAATATTATAAATTCTGCTAAACAATGAAAAATGTATCATATCATGGTAAATCCAAATGATACAAAATCATGTTTTATTTTTAATGTATAAATTACTGCCTGCGAAAAGTGACCCTTTTTAATGTAAAATAACAAATTTATAGCTGTATCCATTAGAATTTTAAATGATAAACTACCTTGATTATACTTTTAAATGTCGGTAAATGCTGTCATTTTTTTTCTTTAATGTGAACAACGTCTAAAACAAGTGTGCTGCTTGAGTCCAAAATAAATAATAAAAATAACCAGAACCATATATATATAAAATATAAAGTTAATATCAAATCTTTATTCAATCCTCTTGGGGACAACTTGTCTAATGTAAAAATCTAAAGAGCCTCACACTGTAAAAGCAATTTATTATCTTCCCTGTGACCTTTTCCTTAAATCCTTAAAATGTCACCCTAAGAAGTCTTAATTCTGATTCAAGCAGCTAGAAAATTGTTTACTACCATTAAACAGCCCGACCAAGTTTGCTTTCAAGAGCTCGATATAAAAATATTTAGTCTTTTTGTAAACAGCAGTGCAGACCATTACATTTTTTTTTTTTTTTTTTTACCCCTTTATCCATTCATTGAGGGCGTCACTGTGGTGCAGTGGGTAGCATTATCTTCTCACAACAGTAAGGTCACTGGTTTGAGCCCCGGCTGGGTCAGTTGGCATTTCTGTTTGTATTTAGCATGTTCTCCCTGTGTTCATGTCAGTCTGTCTTGTGGTTGTAAACAACTTTCTAGGTAGGCTGGGTAAGCTAAATTTGCCGTAGTATATGAATGTGGATGAGTGTGTATGGATGTTTCACAGTACTGGGTTGTAGCTGGAAGGGCATCCGCTGTGTAAAACATATGCTTGATAAGTTGGCGGTTCATTCTGCTTTGGCGACCCCTGGCTAAAAAAAAGGAACTAAGACAAAAAGAATATGAATGAATAAATGAACCATTCATTGAGAAGATTATCAACCAGTCAAAGAACATTTAAATGTGATGTGATGTAAAATCTACCTTTTTTTAAATCTCACTGGTAGAGCATGAAAGCTGCTAGTCCATTTGTGAGGTAAAAATTAAAGTGTTCCAAAATACCATGTCTGAAATGAAAACTAGTCATGATCCTTTTAAATAAATAACACAAGCAATAGAAACAAACTTTTCTGTTAAGTATCATTTTGATTTCAGCAAATACTAAGAGGACTCACTCCAGCTCTTCCTCAGCATGACAGTTCAGAAATTATATTTTAATCTTTTTTTTTTTGAGTGTCAAAGAAAACGATTGCAAAACTCATTTTGAAAAATCACAGTCTTTTTCATTAAAAATTACATTAAATCTGGAGGGCAGTGGATTCTAAGGTGAACACAAGTAAACAATACAAATCATTGTCTTCATTCTTTTTAGTTTAATTAGGTCTTTGGTGTTTGTTTTCAACTTTTGTGGACCAAAAACTGCTGAGTGATTTACTTAACAAAACACCTTTGTTTTCCAGATATACTGGTGACGACTCCTAACAGATTGATATATTTACTTAATCAAGACACTCCTGCTATCAACTTAAGTAGGTGAGTGATTTGCAAAAGTTCTATAATTTAGGGAATAAAAACCTGATCGTCGTCATGAAAAAGTGAATTATGCATGTAGATTTTTCCTCATCTGTATGCGCTTTCTTTAATATATTGATATCAGTGTGTAATATCAGTATGTTCTGTTTGTGTGTAGTGTGGAGTGGCTGGTGGTGGATGAGTCTGATAAGCTGTTTGAGGACGGTAAGACTGGTTTCAGAGAGCAGCTTGCCACTATCTTCCTGGCCTGCTCTTCTCCCAATGTCCGCAGGGTTCTCTTCAGTGCCACGTTTGCAACAGATGTCGAGCGATGGTGCAAACTGAACCTGGACAACCTTGTCAGTGTCAGCATTGGAGCCAGGTATTGAAACGCATCTTTTTAAATCTTGCCATTTGTGGAAACGTGCCTTTCACCTCTTGAAGTTTATTTTTTTTAGAGTGAGAATTTGCTTTTCTATTTCTTTATTTCAGAATATTCTACTTTTTTAGATGCCATTTATTTCATTGTAAAAACACAAGTGTGTTAAAAATGCAAAACTAAGTTAATAAAGTATTACACATACCTTTAAGTGTATTTTAAAAAAAAATCAGTGTAAATAATAACTGTAAAGCATTTCTATCTTAGCTTATTGCTTTAATGAATAATTGAAGAGACATACAAGACTTACTCTCCATCCATAGGAACTCTGCAGCTGAAACTGTGGAGCAGCAGCTGCTGTTTGTGGGTTCAGAAAATGGAAAAATCCTCGCCATGAGAAACCTCATAAAGCAGGTCAGTGAAGGTCTTGAGGTCATATCATAGCAAATTATTGAAAATCTTGAATATTCTCATTCAGACATTCAAAGTGAATTGTGGGTTTGGCTTTCTGTGTCATAATTGCACATCATTTGTTTTTAGGGGTTTCTACCGCCCGTGTTGGTGTTTGTTCAGTCGATTGATCGAGCCAGAGAGCTGTACCATGAGCTGGTGTATGAGGGCATAAATGTGGATGTGATCCATGCAGATCGTACACAACAACAGGTTTGTCCAACACAGCCAGATTAACATTTAATAATCACATGATTAATAAGTTTGGTATGTCTGTTTATACCTGTCTATCTGTTTATGTCTGTCTGTCTGTCTGTCTGTAAATCTCTTTGTCTGAGTTTATGGCTGTCTTTCAGTTTTTGTCTGTCTATCAGTTTGTGTGTCTGTCTATTAGTTTGTGTCTCTGTCTGTCTATCACTTTGTCTGTCTGTCTGTTAGTTTGTGTCACTGTCTATTAGTTTGTCTGTCTGTCTATCAGTTTGTGTCCATCCATCCATCCATCTGTCTGTCTGTGTCTGTCTATGTAAAGATGCGTGTGTACTATTAAGTTGTGCATGTGCAAGATGATGATGCATCAACATATGTTATTTAGATGCAAAATGTAAATATTTGTCAATGTTAAATAATCTTTTATGAAAACCATGTCAATTTACAATTAATTTAAGCGACTGAACAAATAAGTATTGTTTTTATGGAAAAGAAAAAAATATGTTGAATAACCAGTCCATTCATTCAAAAGGCATTAAATTGAAATCCAAAACAAAAAAACTTAGCTAGATGAATTGCCAGTGCAACAATTGTGTCACCTCAACCACACTCGCAACTGCGTGTTCAGATCATTACATGCCTATCCTCTGCCAGTGGATTTATAGTCATAGAAACGTCTATTAGCAGAACAGTGAGATCTGCTTTAAGGCATCATTCATTCATTTTCAACTGCTTTTCCGGGGCCGGGTCAGCAGTCTTAGGAGAGAACCCCAGCGGGATCCCAAGGTGTTGCCAGGTCAGCCAAGAGACATAGTCCCTCTAGCGTCTTCTGGGTCTTCCCCAAGGCCTCCTCACGGTGGGACATGACTTTAACACCTCACTAGGTAGACGTCCTGGAGGCATCCGAAACAGATGCCCAGGCCACCTCAGCTGACTTTTCTGGATGTAGAGGAGCAGTGGCTCTATTCTGAGCTCCTCCCAGATGACAGAGCTCTACATCCTATCTATAAGGGTGCGTTCTGCTCAAGAGAGTTGTCTTTAAAGAATTAGTTAACCAAAACATGTAATGAATTAAGCTGCTCCTCTCAGGCTACTTTTCTCCTTTGTGAGATGAGTGCGCCTCCATCGCCGTGTGTGCGTTTTAAAGGCTATTTACGTGCGCACCTGACCTGACGCGGGGACCGGATCTCTCAGCCTGATCTCACGAGAAAACGTGTTGGATCTCTGGACTATATAGGAGCTTTAATCTCACCATTTTCATAATTTAATTGCTATGTCATATATTTTAAAATATTGAAGGTTGGAACGACGGGAGTGTTAGTAATTAATGAGAGAATGAATTTTCAGTTTTGAGTGAACAATCAAACTATCAATCAAACAAATTCTTTCTGAGGGGGCACCCTCCACAAAATGCCACAAGGGACACGGTCAAATGCCTTCTCCAATGCTGGTTGGGCATACTCCCATGAACCCTCAAGCACCCTGGTGAGGATATAGAGCTGGTCCAGTGTGCAACGGCCTGAACGAAAACCGGACTGTTCCTCCTAAATCCTAGGTTCAACCATCGTCTGGATCCTCCTCTCCAGTACCCTGGCATAGACTTTCCCAGGAAGGCTGAGGAGTGTGATCCCCCTATAGTTGGAACACACCCTCTGGTCCCCCTTCTTAAAAATGGGAACCACGACCCCAGTTGCCCAGTCCAGGGGTACTATACCTGACCTCCATGCAATATTGTATAGATGTGTCAGCCAAGACAGCCCCACAATATCCAGAGACCCAAGATACACAGGGTGAATCTGCTTTGCCACTTATGCTTTAAGGCATATAGCACATATTATGTTCATAGCCCAGCTGGAATTAGTCAACAGCTAACTACAAGATGATACAATCTAGGTAGAGAGAGAGAGAAAGAATATGAGAGAGAGAGAGAATATGAGAGAATGAGAATGTTCTCTATCAGGACCTTGTGTAACTCAGGCTACTTTACCTGGTCAGTGGACATCAATTTCCAAATGAGGTTTCTGCTTTCTTCGATCACAACACTGGTAAAGCCTGGTTTATACTTGACGCATTCGCTTGAGTGCGTGCGGCGAATGTGACGTCATCGGGGAGTTTGGGTGCGCGCGACATGATTTCTGCTGGCGGATCGCATGTTTTTTTTGAGACTTGAGCAAACAGTGTGCGCGGCGCTGCGTTTGATTTGAATATGAAACACTTTGAAGAGATTTGTCTGAAACGGGTACGCCTGTACAGACGTCTTTATGATTCGTGATCATAGAGATAACCAGTTGGCCCATAATTCTTGTTGGTCTTAGCATTTAAATTTATATTTAAAGCTTGACACTTCTGTATTTACGTTGTGTGCTAAGACCAACAATAAATGAATAGTTGATGTTATCTAGGCCGATATGTCTGGGAACTAAACTCTCATTCCAGTGAAATCTGGATCTGAGCAAGCATAAGAAGGCTGATACATTCCCACATACATATCAACAAGCAGTTGCTGGCATAAGACATTTTTATCCTACCCATAATCCAATATACACAGATGGATCAAAAAAGTATGGTCATGTTTCTGCAGCAATAGTAATGGGTCAATCACTACACGGCATTCACATTCCTGATCAAAGCTCAATATTCACAGCTGAAGCAAAGGCACTCTTTTTAGCGTTGGAACACATTGAAAATGCTGAAGGACACAATTTTATAGTTTTTTCTGATTCTAAATCTTGTCTACAGACATTAAATTCTTTTAAACTGGAGCATCCCATTATTATTGACATTTTTATCAAAGTGAATGAATTACAGAGAAAGTTTTATAATATAGTCTTCTGCTGGATCCCAGGACATACTGGACTACTTGGGAATGAACAAGCTGACAAAGCCGCCAAAACAGCCCTAACAGGAAAGCTGAAGGAGTGCAAAATCCCACCTTCGGATCTTAAGCCACTAATAAAAGGATATATCCTCAAAAAATGGCAATCAGAATGGGATCAGTGCCCAGAAAATAAACTTTTTGAAATTCAACCTGAAATAGGAAAAAAATCGAATTTATTTTTTAAGTCAAGACACGATGAGATTGTATATAGAAGATGTCGCATTGGACACAAAAGACTCACACATGAACATTTACTCAAAGGAGAAGAACCACTAAAATGCCTTTATTGCAACAGAAACCAAAACAGTTAAACATATTCTTGTAGAATGTCCCATTTTTAATGTTATCAGACAACAATATTTATCTGGAGAGACTTTAAAAGAGATATTTTTAAACGTGAATCCATCTAAAGTTGTAGAATTTTTATCAAAAGGAAATCTTAAAAAACTGTTTTAGATTTTTATCTTATATATTATCATTATTATTATTATTATTATTTATATATTTTACCTTGTACATTATTTATTGCTGTTGATGACTTTTAATTGTTAGAATATTTTTACTTGATCTATTTTCTTTTTGCCGTGACATAGCCATAGACGCTGAAATGGCAATAAAATTAAAACTCTCTCTCTCTCTCTCTCTCTCTCTCTCTCTCTCTCTCTCTCTCTCTCTCTCTCTCTCTCTCTCTCTCTCTCTCATTCCAGTGTAATAAGGAATTTTCCATTGCAGCACATATATTGTCAATTGGTGATGTGATGCTGTCTTAATGCCACATCAATCTGCTGATGATTGGAATCATGTCGCGTGATCTTCACATTTCCTGGGTGGTGTACCACAAGTGCTTTTGATGTGATTCTCGCTAAAAGAATAAAGCCATACGGGCTGTTCACATATCACATCCTTTTGCACTCTCAAATTCCTTATTTTATAATCAGATGAGCAGCAAGCGTGCAGAAATAGAGAGAGGAATTAGTAACATGTTTGTAGAAATACAGCACTTTCTGTTTTTGCCTTTTGTCATGCGTCTGTTTCTTACAAATAGACAACTATAGTTTTATTTGAGCTTGGTTCATTGGTCCAGGCTTTCATTGTGTTATTATTAATATGGTGTTGTGGTTATGTTTTTAACAGAGCAGCTTCCTTTGTTGTCATTGCCCTGGCTTGTTGCATGACACCCCTAGGTGATGTATATTTGTAGGTGTTTCACTGGTCTTTCCTCACTGTCTTTCTCTTTAGAGGGATAATGTGGTGAGCAGTTTCCGCTCAGGAAAGATCTGGGTGTTGATCTGCACTGCTCTTCTGGCTCGAGGCATCGACTTCAAGGGCATCAATCTGGTTATCAACTATGACTTTCCTACTTCAGCTGTGGAGTACATCCATCGCATCGGTGAGTCTGCTAGCAGAGGAGAGAATACCCCTTTATGTTGTGTGGGTTTCTTATAAACATGTTGGTGCTTTGTTCCCTCCAGGCCGAACAGGAAGAGCAGGACACAAAGGGAAGGCCGTAACTTTCTTCACTGAGGACGACAAACCTCTCCTGCGCAGGTAATTTGCTCTCTTTAAAAAAATCAAGTCATCTTGCGGAGAATTGCCTTTTTTATAGCTAATAACTGCATGAACCTTTTCTCATTTGTTTATGGATCAGCATTGCTACGGTCATAAAGAAGGCTGGATGTCCTGTTCCCGACTACATGATTGGGTTCAAGAAAATTAAAAGGTGCTCACTACATGAAACTTTTCGGTTTATATAGATTTGCTATTTATTAGGTAGGGGTTAATGTTAGTGTTAGTTTTATTCTGTAAAGCTCTGGTAACATTTCTCCCAAATCCAAAAAATAAATATTGTCATTTTAGAGCTTTTTGATATAAAACAACAAAAGCTTTTTAATTGTTATGATTTATAAGTCAGGGTTTTTCCAGCAAATATTGATTTCTGTGTTTGAATCTTTTTATTTTGATATTCAATAAAGGAATCAGAAAGTTATTGTAACACACCATGTGATAAGAACACACCAAAGATGATAATGATAAGAAGTTAAAGAGAATATGATATAAATAAAGCACATGAAAAAAACTGAGCAAATAAGTCCAGTGATTTCTGAAATGAAAACATTGGTGTTGTATAGCCCAAAATTGAATACAAGCATGGCATGTGTTTTTGATATAATTTTATATTATAAAGGCTTTTTTGGAGTTGGAAATGTCATCAGTAATTTACAGAATTAAACCAAATACTCCAACTGAATTTAACACACAGTGTTCTCTTAGTTGTTTCTCTCAATTGCAGCATAGCTTTAAGCACAGTACTTTCAATGAGACTAGTTTCCTCTTTCATTACTATGATTTGTTGGTATTGTGATTTGTAAAATGCTTATGTAGCATGAAATTAGCCATGTAAGATCTCTAATTTTTCTCCACACAGCAAATTGAAACACCAGCTTGTGACAAAACCACCCAGACGGGCCGCTATTCGCACGACTCCACGCATGCTTTTTGACAGGAAGCTTGGCAAGGGAAAAAGGTTTGTTCTAAATCAGATGATGGAAAGAGGTTGTTTTTTCCTTAAGGCCTGGATATACCTACTTTTTCATTCTATGCTCAGTGGTTAAAAGTGTAATATTTCTAAGTTATTTACCATTAGGGGTGTAAAGTAACTAATTAAAAATACTCAAATTACTGTAATCAAGTTGTTTTTCTCAGAAATTGTAATTTACTAAGTCATTTTAAAAATGTGTACTTTCCCTTTTTGTGCATTATGGTGCTTTTACTCCACTACTTTTCTTCAACCTGCAGTCAAGTCACACTACTTTATTTTTCCTGTCTATGAGGATTTAAAAAATCAGTCCTGCGAGTCCAATCAAATCGCACGTAGAAAGTAAATTGCATCATACTGAAATACCTTAAGACAGGCAACAAACTGTTTGGAAGCATTAAAAAGTGTCCAAGACACTTTGCACCACGGGTGCCCAAACTTAGTCCTGGAGGGCCAATGTCCTGCAGAGTTAGGCTCCAACTTGCTTTAATACACTTGCGAGAAGCTTTGTAGAATACCTGGTAAAAGCTTGATTAGTTGGTTCCGGTGTGTCTAATTGTGGATGAAGCTAAAATCAACAGGACACCGGCCCTCGTGGAACAAGTTTGGACAATCCTGCTTTACACACAATGACCCAGAGACTGTTTAGATTGCATGTCACTGGTAAAAAGATGGCAGATGTCAACTGTATGATTACTGAAATGGCCTTAAACAATCACTAAATTTACTACAGCATGTTTACTTTTACTCTACTTGGAATACATTTTTGGGCAAGTAATGGTGCTTTTACTTGAGTATGATTTTTTTTAGTACTTTTTCCACCACTGTTTACCAATAATTTTAAATAACATACTTTTCCGTAAAGTTCACAATGGCAAGCTTTGTTTTTTTTTGTTTTTTTTCCAAAAGCATTTTTATTGAACATATTAGATATGAAACATACATTGCAAAATAGCTTTTCAATTTTTCTTTTTTTTTTTTTACACAACAAACAAACAAAACCTGTCGCACATACATTTAGGTTCTAGAAAAAAATATAAATAATATTAATAAAAAATACAAATAAATAGTAATAATAAGTAAAGCATATGTTACTCTCATAAATAAGGGGAAAAAAAAGAAAATACTAAATATTGAAGACAAAAAAAAAGAGAAAAAAACCAACAACAAACAAACAAGAAAAGGTTCTACTCTTCTAAAATGACTGAGGGGTCCATCTTTTTTATGTGATCTAAAACAGGTTGCCTGGTGAGAAAAAACATATCAGTACAGCCTCCTAAAGTGTATCGTATTTTTTCTAAGGCCAGGTGGTGTAGAAGTTCCATAAGCCATTGCTTAAAGGTTGGAGGAAGTTTTTCCTTCCATTTCAGCAATATTAATCTTCTAGCTAAAAGCGTAGTAAAGGCAATCACATTTATCTTGCTTTTGCTAAAACATAAGGACTGTGGTGTGATTCCAAAAATTGAAATTATGGCCTCAGGTTCTACATGGGTATTTAATGCGTCCGAGAGGAATTTAAATATTAGCTGCCAGAATTTCTTTAATTTTGAACAAGCCCAAAACATATGAGATAAAGTAGCTGGCTCAATGTTACATCGGTCACAGTTAGGGTCTATATTTGGTTTAAATTTGGCTAGTTTCACTTTGGACCAATGTAATCTATGTACTACTTTAAATTGTATAACTCTATGTTTTAAACAAATTGAAGATGAGTGGATATGGTCTAAATCAATGGCAAGCTTTGTTTAATGGTAATATCCAAAATTCAACTCCAATTGAACTTCATTTTGTTCAAAATTGTCTCACACCAGTTCTGTACGAGCTGTATACAGGGCCTTGACAGAATAGAAAAATGAAAAGAAAACATTTGCATTGTTTACTACAAATTTTCAATACAAATAACTGGTAAACTCTGATTTTCAGCACTGTGTAAAAGTGTAATTGCAGTGTATTTGTAGAATATTTACCTGATTTTAATATAAGTGTGGTCCTAGTTCAGTTTGTCAATTCACTTTGTTTCTTTATGCATTTATTTTCAGGAAAAAGAGAAAAGCCACTGCAAAAGAAGCAAAAGGCGAAGCACCAGAAGTCATTTCTAACTGCTGAATTTGGCACACTGTTTCACAGCTCATTTTTCTAATCCAAATTATTGCCTTTTAATAAACTGAATGTTAATCTGTGGGTTTGTGTGTCTATCTTTAGATCGAAAACAGCTTGTTAAAAAAAGGCATCTCCACATTCATTTTAAAAGAAAAAGCTCAATGCTTTGCGCCGTCATTCTGATTGTCCTTCTATAGTCATTTCTCTATGATCTGCGGCATTGTCTTTTTCACCACATCTTGGCTGAGCCAGTCAGAACAGCATGATGAGCATGCAGACATTCATTTCTTTGGTGGGAAAGTTTCAGTTTTGCTTTGACATATTGGATATAAAGTGTCAATTTATATTTTTATTTCAAACATAAGGATTATTAGAGCATTATCTATGTAGTAGTAGAAATGACTACAAAGGCACTACTTTAATTATTTAATACATTTCTTTGATCAGGAGATTCACTTCTTTTAAAGAGTCAAAGATAAAGGTCCTCTCTAAACTGTTTGGTAAAAAATTTTCTGATTGTGTATTCATATGTGTATTTGTGATGTTTCAGGGGAAAACTTACAATATGTCGTCTCTTCAAACCACATAACCTGTTTGTTCATTTCCTGTTTTTTTTTTCCCATAGATTTGTCACACAGAAAGTTCCCTCTCATTTGTACCTTAAGCAATGGTCTAAAACTCGATTCCTCACACCTGCTTAATAGTCTCTAGTAGTTTTAAACACCTTAATTATTTGGATCAGCTGCGTTTGATTAGGGTTGGAACAAAACTATGCAGAGCTGCGGCCCACCGGCAATTGAGTTTGTTACTTATGATGTGTGTGCACGTGTGTGTGCGCACGTTTATACAGTTAAAGTCAGTTAAAGTAAATTATTTGCCCCTTTCTCTTTTTTTAATTTCTTTTTCAAATATTTTTTAAATGTTAAATAGAGCAAAGAAATTCTCACAGTAGTATTTTCCTTAATAATTTTATTTTCTTCTGGAGAAAGTCTTTTTAATTTTGGCTAGAATAAAAGCAGTTTTTCATTTTAAAAAGTATTAGCCCTCCCTTTTTTATCTACTGCATAACCACTGTTATACAATAACTTGCGTATTAACCTAATTACCCTAGTTAAGCCTTTAAATTGCACTTTAAGCTGATTATAAGTGCCTTAAAACTATCTAGTAAAATATCTACTGTCATCATGGCAAAAATAAAAGAAATCAGTTACTAGAAATGAGTAATTGTTTAGAAATGTGTTTAAAAAATCCGTTAAACAGAAATTGGGGCAGGGGCACTAATATTTCTGACTTCAACTGTAAATATCTAACATATGGGATATCATAGTGTATATATATATATATATATATATTTATTTATTTTATTTTTTTCATGCGTGTCGATGTCTAGCTTTATGTTTAAATAAAACTTTGCTTAATACATACATACATGTACATACATGCATATACACATGTACTGAGGTAGGTAATGCTGTCGCCTCACACCAAGAAGGTCGCTGGTTTGAGCTTTAGTTGGGTCAGTTGGCGTTTTTGTATGGAGTTTGCATGTTCTCCCTGCGTACACGTGCGTTTCCTCTGGGTGCTCCGGTTTCCCCCACAGTCCAAAGACATGCGGTACAGGTGAATTGGGTAGGCTAAATTGTTCTTAGTGAATGAGTTTATATGGATGTTTCCCATAGATGGGTTGCAGCTGGAAGGGCATCCGGTGCATGAAACATGTGCTGAATAAGTTGGCGGTTCATTCCACTGTGGCAACCCCAGATTAAAAAAGTAAGCCAAAATGAAAGTGAATGAATAAATGAACACCTGTAGTATTGATAGGAAACTTACATAGGCGATATATAAACTTGATGCATAAACCCACACACACTTGCTTATACATATAAACTATCCCTGCATAAACACCCACATTAACACATGCACATACATATAAAATTGATGCATGCAAACACACCTATACTCGCATGAGCCAGCCTGATCTCACGCATGAGCACATGATCTATGCGTATGCACCATAGAGGCAGTACCTCACCTGTCATCATCCTCACCTGCCATCATGATATGTATACTAATGATAAAATAAATATGTCTATAAATGCTATTTCTGTATGATTCAAAAGATTTCAATCATATTATATTCAAAATCGCTGTATTTTACATTTCCTGTTCAGTTACAGCCTGTTACTTTATATTTTGCTCTAACTGACTGCAAAAATCATGGATTTAATATCTCAGCTTAAACATTTCTCAATATCGGACTTTATATTAAACGTGAATACATAATGGATGACCAATGCTGGAGCTAAAGGGTATGACACGGAAAGAGTTAGTTAGTGCCTAACCAGCCACAAACCTCAGCCCACGGTGTATGTATGCATGCATCAAGTTTATATTTCCTTTATATTTCTGCAAGTTTATATATATATATATATATATATATATATATATATATATGTGTGTGTGTGTGTGTGTGTGTTGTTTTAAAGTCCAATAGCTATAGGTGTATATGCAGGTATTTTATGTAAGTATTAATAAGAGAAATTTAATGTAAATCCTACACGGTGCCTCATAGCACCTGATCGTGCCTCATAATTTACACAGAACATGAATAGATAAGCTACCTAAAGTAAAACAAGAATGAATGACACAGGATATGTATGCAATATTACTACAGTCATTTAATGAATGATGCACAAAATGAATTGAATTTTTAACCACTGCTTGAAATTGTGCTAATCAAGCACTACATCTAAAGTTGTGTTTCCGCGGTGAGAAAACCAATAGTCAGAAGTGGATTTTTGTTTTTGCAGTTTGCATATGGGTGTTCTTTCCTGTGTTGGTTTCATTTTTGCTTTTCATCACGTCACGGAACTATGTGAATGTGGATCATTTGGTTAAAACGACATTCTCATATCCCATAAAGATCATTTAAGAAGAACCTTAAGAACTCAAGAATGACTGTAACAGACAAGACACAAGATGTGATAGGATTGTGACCAGCAAGCAACAGATAAGTTTGTTTAAATGAAACTAATTATTTAATTTAATGGTATTAATTTCTTTGTAAAGTCTGTAATAGGCCTATAATTATTGTGTAATAGGCATGTAGTAAGTGTGTTGTTACAATATTAGTAAAGGTCTGGTCACTTTTTTTAAGGTACAATCCTCTCTATTCAAACCATTTAACAAGACTTTTAGCTCAATAAACTACTATAGTTGTATTTTATAGTATTAGGGATGTAGGATCAGACCATATTTTATAATTACTAATAAACAACCGACATCTGTGGTGTCTGATGATGCTCTCCAGAAAAAAGAGATACATAATAGTTTTGATGATATTCGTTATCATATATAGATGTCACATATAAATATATACATTTACAATAAACTAAATGTATACATCTGTGATTTAAAATTGCTGTAATGGATCCTTTTCACAAGACAATGATGGATCAAATCACAAAAAACTAATTACAGCTTGTGCGAGGCATTTGAAATGCAGAGTTTAATGAAGGGAAAGTAAATTGGACGTTGTTCACTCATCTAACTTCCATTTTCAGTCTCACACTTTTATTTATATTTGCTTTTTCTGAAAATCTTACTAACACCATAGTGAAGTTTTTCTTTTATTTTAGCAAATAGGATTGTAAAAAAAAAAAAAATGTTGTAATTTCCCATTGACTGTGCTCTAAGTTTACCTGATTATAACGACTTCCACTACTGAGAAACTCATGAAAAAGTCCATGATGATAAATATTTGAATAATATTTAATAATAATTTTAATGATACATTTTTATTTGCTAGTCACTCTTTTGTTAAACTTGTATGCTTTTAATGGAGGACTTTTACAAGATGACGCACTGCTACACTGGCTGAGATAGCTCAACGCACTGCAATTTAGCACGTTAAGCTCTTTCCGCCACTGTTCTCTGCTGTTTTGTTTGTTAAAATCATGGTATGTACTTTAATTCGCTCATAAAACGATGAACTTTTCCCTTTTTATGATTTTGTTATTAGTAAAATAGCATGGATAATATTAAGCAATTACAGAAGATCATGTTGTATGTAACAATGACAGCGGTACTTTGTTATTCGGATGCTAGTGTTAGCTCTGTGGCTCCTGTAATCGGTTGTGTTGTATGTTGTTACGTGTTTAGAAACTGTAAATTGGAAATATTTTAGATTTACAGTCTTTGTTTAGCTGCTAATTTTGCTGATTGCCTTAATTATTTATTTTTTTTGGACTTTTGATTATTCATCGAGCTCAGCATAACGTAAAGGCCTAGTGAAGTCTTGTCAATATTACGTTTAGTTTGGAATATTACTTTGCTGCACACGCTGCATCGATACGCTATGTGATTTACTGTATGTACAACTTGTGGTGTGATGGTTAAAGTTATGGTTTGGAAGTCAGAAGTTAGAAACCCTCAAGGTTTGTGTTTTCTAATAGGGATCGCTGCTGCTAACATAAACATTACTTATTTTTTTTTAGCTCAGTTTGGGTTTTCACGGTAGACTAAAGCATTCGGTTTAAATGCATATAGAAATAAAGCACGTGCAGGAGTTTATTTTTACTTGTACAGTCTGAGTTTTCTGGACAGAGTAAAATATTCAAACATATTCAAACACTTTGTTTCAAACATATTATAATTCGTACTTTGCTTTTGCTTCCTTCTGATTACATTTGTTTTTGCATTTGTTTTCAGGGATCAAACATATGTTGCCTCCGCAGACCAGTGGATCAGATTAAGGTGCTTGTCTTTGATATAAAAGTGCTTGTTTAAGACATTTCTCATACTTCCCAATGAAGTTAGCGAAATGGCTGCAACAGTAACATGTTTACCTTTTTATTAAACAGCAAATTTACTAGTCCTACCGTTGTGTAAACCATTAAACATCTCAATTATATCACGACTATTAACTTATTTGGTAAAACTACATTGAAGTAAAGAATTTAAGAAAATAAATGACAATTACAATTATCTTTCTGTCACACCAATTAGTCAATTTAGTTAGTTCACATCAACATTAAAATGAATTCATCATTCTCACCCTTTTGTCTTTTCAAATGTAGAAGACTTTCATTCAGTCTTTTTAAATAATTAGTTCACCCAAAAATGAAAATACTAATATTAATTACTCACCCTTATGTTGTTTCAATAACCCTGAGAAATAAATTAAAATAATTTTGATTAAATCTGTAAGCTCCCTCATCCAAGTCTAGAAAAGAATCCAATAACATTGTCCAAACTTTTCTTTGTGTTTAACAATTTTCTGCAGAAAAACCCCACAATAAAAGCAAGTCTTCATTGTCCTGACAGGACAGAGGATGTGTGTTTGCATTAGGGTCAGTACTCACCAAGGCGACACCAAACAACCAGCAAACACTCTGATTAAGTCTTGAATAACCAGTCAGAGCGCTCTCTTTTGCCAACACCAATTCAACATGCTGAATCAAGCCAACGAGCTCCGATGCTAACCTGATGAGAGGCGTAATTGGGAATTTTAGTGCATTTGCAGGGTGTCTGCGGGGTCTTAAAAGTATTAAAAATTGGTAAATTAATTATGAGAAAATTAAGGCCCCTGAAAGGTATTAAAAAATCTTAATCACGTTTTATGGTGTTTTTAATTTTTGTTCAAGCAATGTTCAAAGTGTTTGACTTCAAAAAACCATAATTTATTTTCCTCGATCCACACGATTGGTTTGGGCTTGGCGCGTCCGGCCAAGCTCCTCTGTGATGTCATGTAATTTGCGACAAATGTGGGAAGGTGATGTGAGGCTCTGTAGCGAAACCATAGAGCGAAAAAGACAGCAAGATGGGAACATGTAAGTTTGCATACTCCTGGTTGGAGAAAGATGAGTTTAAACAGTGGCTGAAGCCTGTTGCTGAAAACAACCGCGTAATTTATTATTTTAAGCTTTGTTTCTTCTGAGCTTATCTGAGTTCTGTTGCTTGGTTGTGCTCTATTGATTGATTTAACTACAACTGTTTATTAACAAGGTGACGCGGTGGTGCAGTAGGTAGTGCTGTCGCCTCACAGCAAGAAGGTCGCCGGTTCGAGCCTCGGCTGGGTCAGTTGGCATTTCTGTATACAGTTTGCATGCTCTCTCTGAGTTTGCGTGCATGGGTTTCCTCCGGGTGCTCCTGTTTCCCCCTCAGTCCAAAGTTAATCTAATCTGACAGACTTGCATGGAAAATCTTTAAAACAAACCTTTTGAAATATGTTTCTTCAAAAAAAACTGCTACATGATGGACAGATTTAATTTAGGTCTTTAATTACAGACAAACAATAATCAGTAAAATAATGGAGACCAAATTTGATGTAATTTAATCCTGGGAATAAAAAACGGAGAAAAATTAATTTGTGATTTAATTAAAGGATTAACTCACCGAAAAATTTGGCCAAAATAAGCAAAAAATATATACAACATGAACTTTGTTCACCTATATTTTCCATATAAGGTCATGATGCATGTTAGTGGTGTCAAAATGATAATTTTTTCGATGCAACATAAAGCAGACTAGAACGATTTGGTAGCAGTTTAATAATAGTTCAAAACCCGTTATTACGTGTCATTTATCAGGGTATATGCAGGAATCCTAATGGTAGTTTCAATACCTTTTTAAGACTTTTTAAAGACCTCAGAATATTTTAAGACCTCATCGTCACTTTAGTTCTAATAAAGCTTTAGTTTGAAATAAAGCTGACAATTTTATGACATTAACAAATCACTTGGTATGTTTAGACGTCTATCCAATGTACCGAAAACCCCAAAGGATTGAATGGAGTTGTCATACAAGATGATAAGGTGTTTGCCATGAACAAACACCCCTTGGTAGGTTTACATGCTGATTCAACATTCGAATATCAATGACTTGTGAATTAAATGAGTAAACAGCTTATTTTGTCGTCTGCAGGGGACTGTTCCTTGGTGGGTCGACACAAACTCAACTGCTGCTCTCGGCAAAACATTCCCATGCTCCCCTGACATCTCATGCAGCATTAAAAATGATCGTTGAGTGCTTGTGAACTTTGGCAGTTTTGACTAATTAAATATAAATAAAGATATACATGTTTTGTTTTTTGTTTATTTCAATCTCAGACAGCAAACTCTGTATCATTATATTAAAAAATGCCTATCTTTAGGCCCGGATTGTCCATCTGAAATTTTTTTCAAGCGTTGGCCAGGCACAATCACGTGCACACATAGGGCTCAACCTTAGCAGTGAAATTGTGGGGTGTGTGCTACCAAAGTCCCTTTAAGGCAAGTAATTTAATTTCAAATCAATCAAAAAAGCTGTATTTTTTAAGGTTGTCTGACCAAGCTAATGGAACAAGATCACGACACCAACCTTTTTTATTGGCTGTTTCTGAAGGACATGATCAGATGTCATCCAGTCAATCAAACTATATAACTAAAAATCATCCACTGAATAAAGGTACATCTGATAGTGCTAGTCTACTGAAGCCATTTTCAACTTATTCCTGGAGGCAAGTTTGTGGGCAATTAGGTATTTACTGAAGTTTGCCCGGCGTTTTTTTTTTTTTTTTTTGGTTACTTCTTTGGTTTGGTGCGTCAATCTTATCAATGCTATTATTAAAAAAAAAGATAATGATTCGCACTCAATTGCTTCGTACTGTTTTTACTTTTTATTTTTCTTACATTTTACAGGTGATTAAAAGACAGACGTTTTGGCACAAAGCCTTCCTCAGCGTGACACAATTCTTCAACTCCACCCTTTTATCTCATAGTCAATCACAATGTGCAATTAATTAGACATTCACTCTCATTTTATTATCTATTAATCACACAATACCTTTTTATCTTCACAGCAATAACAATAAAAAATCTTCACATTTCCGACCTCAATCTACAGAGATAAAGTGCATCAACTATATCATTAATCAGGTGTACATCATTACAATAAAAATCCGACAGCTAACATAAAAAAAAAGTTTACATTTGACAACTACTCAAGGATTAAAAAACACAAATCTTACCTTCACCTCTACCCACATAACCAATTATAAAGGAGACATTTACCCTCATCTTCAAAAACTATTTGCGAAACATACAAAAAATACCTTTACCTTCAAGGAACATTACTACCAAAGACAACATTACCTTTTTCATTTCAGTACATCATTATTAACCTCTCGAAAAATACCTTTATCCACAAAAACATTTCACAAAAAAACAAAACAGCATATCAATTATCACTGTGTTGACCAATAGTTTCTGTTTCACTTCAATATATCATGATAAACCACACGAAAAATACCCTTACCTCCAAAAACATTTTCACAAGAACCTATCAATTATCATTAATCTCCCATTTTTATCTACTTTATTCCGAAGTTCAAAAACATTTTAAAAAATCAACAACAACTTTAAAAAAAACAACAACTTTAAAGTTCAAGATTTTTTAATCCTAATGTCAATTAAATAACAGACTTGTTAAAGAAATGCAGACAGATCCAACTCCTCATTCATTCCTTTTGGTGCAAGTGACTTCAATTCATGAATTCTGAACGCTTCTCTTTGTAATAATCTTTTATTTAAATTACCTCCTCTATGTGACAAACACTTCTTCACTCTCTATGCATTCCAGTTGTTTGACGTCATGTTCGCATTCTATAAAGTGTCTTGCTACTGCCGAGGTTATGTCTTGTCCTCGTATACTTAATTTATATTCGCTAATATGCAACTTCAACGGTTGTAAAGACTTACCTAATTAGCTGTCGGATTTTTATTGTAATGATGTACACCTGATTAATGATATAGTTGATGCACTTTATCTCTGTAGATTGAGGTCGGAAATGTGAAGATTTTTTATTGTTATTGCTGTGAAGATTATAAGTTATTGTGTGATTAATGGATAATAAAATGAGAGTGAATGTCTAATTAATTGCACATTGTGATTGACTATGAGATAAAAGGGTGGAGTTGAAGAATTGTGTCACGCTGAGGAAGGCTTTGTGCCGAAACATCTGTCTTTTAATCACCCGTAAAATGTAAGAAAAATAAAAAATAAAAACAGTACGAAGCAATTGAGTGCAAATCATTACTTTTTTTTTTTTTTTTTGAACAATTAGGTATTTGCCATCATGTGATTGCATTTTAATGGAGCCCATTCATCATGTCAGACTGGACAGACTTTACCTGGTGTTCATTTCTCACTGATTACTTTAGTTTTCAAATGTTCAATTAAAAGAGATTTAAAGCTTTATGTAGATACATTTCTGGTTTAAGTCAAGTATTTACTGAAATTACAGTGTATTTGTGAAGTCCAGAGTGTTCAGTGAAGCTCTGTAAAAACACATGTCTGGCCCCTCTCCTGGAGAACCAAAAGTCTACAGGGGTGCCCAACCCAATTCTGGAGATCTACCTTCCTACAGAGATGAGCTGCAACCTTGATCAAACACACCTGTCTTTAATTACCAAGTGCACCTTCAGATGCTACTTACATTGCGTAAGTAATTCTTTACGTTGTTAATTCATGTCCAGAGAGGTCATGCTTTGATCTTTGATTGGTCTCATGCAATCATGTGATGCGACTTTACAGGTCAGAGTTCACCAAGCTTGAACTTTCCAATGCAGCGAATAGCAAAACTTGTCACACGATCTTGCGTTTCCGCTCTGACGTATAAAAAGAAGTCTATAGGGAGAAATGTGCAGTGTGACCACGGCTTCAGTTGGTTTAGTTGTGTTTTATCAGGGATAGGGCTGAATTCTACAGGAAGGTAGATCTCCAGCAACAGGGTCTTTAGCATTCAATGATTGGCTCCTGTACCGAAAGATTGGTCACATTGACCGTTGCAGTTTTCAACATTTAAAACTTTATGAGTGATTTGTCTTGTATATTATAAAAATCTTTGATGCTGCTAATTGAGATCGGTCAATCAATCAGAGGCTGACCAATCAGGAATGCTGTATGAGGTGTCACACATGAGAAATCAAGAGTCCAGATAAAGCAAACAGGTCAGGGATCAGACTACTATCAATTTTGAGCAGACTATGGGCCCTATTATATGTCTTTTGCTACTTTAAGCTTGGCGCAAGGGTCATTTTAAGGTGTTGTGCCACACTGTTTAAATAGCAAATGCATTTGCGCTCAAATGTGCGCCCATAGGCGTTCTGGTCTAAAAAAGCAGGCATGTTTTGGCGCGTTGCTATTTTGAGAAACTGTAAATAGTCTGTTCTTTAGACCAGAACAAAGTCGGTCTATTGTCTGGCGCAAAGTGCGCCTGGCTTACACACTACACACAAGATGTAGAGCAATACGCAAATATCTTTACATATAAAAAAGATATGATATCTTAAAGATATATATATAATAAGAATATATACAGGATATAAATATAAATGATTAAAATATTACAAAACATATTAATTTCTAGCCTACATGAATTTAAAAACCACTGCCGTCATACTTTCTTTATCTCGGGAGGCTTTTTCAGTTCATTCAATTTGCTTTTGTATAATGTTATTATTATTATTAGCAGTATTATTTATTATATCCATATTTATATTTGTTTTATTAAAAACAAGCTTAGATTTGTCCACCTGTCAGGTTTTAGACCATATGGGGCACAGCAGGTGTATTTGGAAATAACTCAGTATTTTGACCACACTTTGTTATTATTGTTCATTTATTTGTTTGCTGGAAATTAGAACTGAATTTAGAAATAGTTTTGAAACAAATCTTTGCGCTTAACAAACTAAATTAATTATTTATAGACTAATTGATGTCTGTGCGGTAAGGTTTCCCTATCCACGAGAGCAAAAGCGAAAGTGAACCTACTTTACGTCGTGTTAATAGCAATGCGCTTATGGTGCGACGCAGCTGGCTCTTAAAGGGAATGGGAGATGATACTCTGATTGGTTTATTCTCAAAACACACCTATAACTCATTAAGAAAATAAACTCAACCCTTTTAGAACATGCGCCATGGCGCAAAGCGGATTTTCCCATCCTTAAGTTAGCAAAAATGTGTTCTGACACGCCCTGAAAGCGTTTGCGCCCCTGTGTTTTGCGCTCTGCGCATGGACCGTCAAAATACAGCCCTATAGATTTTATAATTCACGCATACATACACAGGGTGATCAGGTTTCCTAGTGCTAAAACAGAACCTGCATATATAGTAAAATTAAAGGGGTCATACAATGCAAGTTCAACTTTTTAACTCTACACTGTAAAAAAAGTCTGGTATTTTAACAGTAAAAGTCTGTACAATCCACAGTGAAAACTTGTTAAATGATTAACAGCTCATTTCTGTACAAAATACGGAATTTAGCTGTAACAGATCTAACCTTCGTTTTCGAGAAACTAATCACTGTTAAACATCATTTCAGAAAAACTTAAAAAAAGAAGAAAAAAAAATATTACAGGGGGGCAAATAATTTTGACTTTAACTTTAAGCAAGAAAAAATCAAATGGGCTGCGTCTGAAACTACTCAGTAGGCACCGCATTTAAATTAAAATGTACTACTCTGCTGTTTGAAAAGTACGCTCTATACAGTATGAATGTCAGTGAAACTCGGACATACTACATCTGCCATTTTGTCATCCTCACATGACCTACCCACATCAGTTGCGTCACTTCACTCCCATTCATAAATTCTTTTGCGGTGCATCATCGGATAGCATAGCATCCATCGGATGTGTACTTCAGAATCTCAATGGAAGTAGTAGGTCATCCGGGTACCATACCTGTCAAATAAAATAAGGAAAAATGGTGGGCATATCCCTTATGTAAAAATAAGGGATATGCTCACCAAAATAAGGCTGTGTCCAAAACCGCCTACTAATTTGTAAGTTTATCACTATGGAGAGGATCAGCTGACAGTCACAGATTGCTATATGACTGTTTTGAAGACTGCATAGAAGGGGAAATGGCACCTGTAATGAAAAGGAACAGGAATCCTGCCATTTTTATATTTATTTCAAAGTGTTTTCATGTCTAAATTAACTGAAAGCACAGGACAGATTCATGTTTAAGAGCAAGGGGTGGCCCCTGGTGTTTCGGCGGTATGAGTGGTGTATAGGGATGATTGGCTCTTTAATGTATATTGTCACCCTTCAGAGAA